TTTGACGATGTTCCATGACGAATTTTTCAATTATGCGAAAACTTTTCATTTATTAAGCATCGAGTGAAGAAACAAAAAATAGCTGTACGTTGTTTTTTTTCTTTCTCACGAGAAAACTATTTGAACTGATACGTGCTATTTTTTCAAATATTTGTATAGGATTTTTTACGGAAAGAAACGACTTATATTGTATTATTTCCGGTAGTGCATCAATGAATCGAGAAGAAAACAGTTTCAGAAAATATTTTACTAATAAAAACGTGTTTTATAACTGGGACCAATTTGAGCTCTGTGACTAGTACAGAGACACATCAGCATTATTCGAGTGCATCAAAATCGATTCAGTTAAAAAGTATTCACCCATTCGGATGCAACACTTTCAAACAAAACTTCCGATAATGATCCTATGCGTAAAAATTAACTTACTTTATTAATAATTCTGTTAATATCATCATTATTAACTAAATTTGATGTATTTGTTTGTATTTGTGAAGATGATGTATTACTTTGATTTGTTGTCATATCATTTGATACTTGTTGATCAACTTTAGTTAAAAGATTTTCATCAAGTAATCGCTGAATCTAATATTATATATATATATATGAATGAAAAACAATGATTTAGTTTTTTTTTTAAATATTTTTATTACCATTTGATGTAATACAGCTAATTCATTTTTCAAATCAATATGAGCACAAGCTAAATATTTAAGTTGAAGTTCTGTATTAGCAACACGGGATTTTAAATCATATGAACGTTGATTTCGTGTTGCTTCTTCATTTGAAATTTCAGATAAATTTAAACTCTATGAAGAAAAAATAACTGAAACAATAAATTCTTATGAAATAATTTACTTCAGTTGGTGATTGTAAGATACCATCAAGATATTCTTTTGAAGAATCAAATGTTGATGGCTAAAATTTAAAAACAATATCTAAAATCGTGTTTTGTTGTCTTTATTATTAAAAATTTTCTTTTACTTTTTTTGCTTTCTTATGTATTTTGCTACGTTTTTGTTGTTCATTATTTGGCAAACTACTATAATCCTCATCAGATGCAACTTTATCATAAAGTGGTTCATCGTCACTATCAATAAATGCATTTATTAATGCAGCTGTTGATGATATTGATGATGGACCATTAACATTTAAGATATCCTGAGTAGATACGGAAGCATTAGTATTTGACATATTTATTTGATTATTTTGTCGTGGTAATGTATGAACTATTTAAAAGATAATAATAATAAAATTGATTAAAAAAATAAAAGAAAGTTTTTATACATTTAGATGTTGATATAGGTGATACAGGTGATTGTGGAATAATACCATAATATCGACGACGAACTTCATTTAATATATCATAAATGAAAGTAGCAAATTCTTTTGGACCATAACGTGCTAATTTTTGACGACCCTAGATGAAAATTCGAAATTTGAAAAACTCGTAGGTGTTATTGAGATGGATAATTTTACTCTATTTTGATATTTATATATTAGTTGAGGAATAAGAGAGCAAGTAAAAATAGAAAGAAGGTAACTATTAGATTTATCTTGAATAGTATCATTAATCGAAGTTCAAGATTTAGTTGTCCTATGATAGTTTTATTTTGTATACTGATCGAGAAAATCTAGTGTATGCCACAATATAGTCAGTATACTATCGTTCGGATAATTTGAGGCAAGAAGCTGTTAGTGACTGATCCAGGGTCATACATTGGAGCGCATGTACTGAGACACTTAACCAGCATATCATAGAGTTTATAACCACAGAAATAACCTCGAAGAAAAGTGATTAATAGAGACAAGAATTGTCAATAGAAATGAATTGCTTCGATAGACTAAAAAGAACAATAAATCAACTGGTCAATACAATATAGGTATAGCTGACATATGCTAATTAACATTACCATATGGGATACTATTAAAAACTAAAATAATACAAAAAATGATTTATTGCTCTTGACCTTAAGACTGTTTGCTTATTAAGTCATTTATGGAAGTCAAAATCATTCTAACGAGAGAACCTTAGTAACTTGAAACTAACTTTCGAATGTGAACTCTGCACATAAGTTAGACTCCGATGAGGTATGAAATGCTCGAAAAGTATCAAGGACTTCTAGAATTTCCCTAAAGATTTACAGATGTTTTACGTAGTTTTAGCTTATAGAGCATCTTCTACAAAAAATCGAATGAGTATATTTTAACCGAAAATTCAACCTACACTTGAAACGAAAACGTTCACTTCACAAGATATTGATTTTCCAAAAAACTATTCATATTCCACGAATGGAATATTCTAGTTCTAAATAGGCTTCAGTAAGACGTTTATAGATTTTTATTTTTTAATTTCAAAAAATGAAAATCATCATACCTGATTTCGTGTTGCTGAAAACGCAGGATTAACAGGTAGAAATGGCACAACATGTAAAGGAATTAATGCTTTATCCACTTGTGCATGCCAAGCTATATAATTAACTTGATTCTACAATTAACAAAAAGATTTTAATCTTACTTGTATTTAACTCTCGTCGTTCAACTTCATCAAATACATCCATAGCAAGATCTTCAAAAAGTTGATCAGGTAACTAATATAACAAAACAAAACTTTATTAGTTTCGTTTATTAACAAATAATCATTTTTTTACTTGTTGAAGTTTTTTACGAGCAAGAAGTGCTGGATCAGATATATCAAGACTATTTTGAACAAAAAAATAAAAATAGGACAGATTTATTTCTATGATTATCATTTAATATACTTTTCATTAAGTTCAGGAAGAATAATATGTTGACCAGTTTTATGATCAGGTCGTTTACCACTAATAAAACAAGTAAGACGATCAGTTAATTCATATTGAAGTTCAACTAATCGATCAGCTAAATCAAAATAACCATTGACTCTATGAGAAAAAAAAAACAATTATTATAAAAAAACAAAATGATTATATGTTATTATCAAACCTTGCATGCTCTTCTGGTGACATTCCAGAATTATCAACAGCTGCTGGATCTCCACCAAAAATGCAAAGAAGCTTAAAACAATAAAATTTCAAAAATAAATTACAATACTATTTTTAAATTTATTTTACTTCAATTTGATTTTGTTGACCACGACTTGCAGCAACATGAACAGATGATGTACCTGTTTCCTAATAACAAAATCATTGTTTCTTTTATTACAACGAAATAAAAAAATTCTTTTTTTTTATCATACTGGATTTTTAAAATTTGGATCAGCACCTTGTGATAGAAATCTTAAACATGTAACTACATTATCTGTTCGAACAATTGAATGTAATTGCTTAAAAAAAAACGATAATCAATTGTATAAATATTGAAATAGAAAAAATAATCATCCGTACTAAATGTAAATCTTCAAATGTTCCATTTGTTTCATCTTTCAATCGATTTATATAAGCCATTTGTTGATATTTTGTTCGAATAAAATCTGCTTTTATTCTAAATAAATAAATCAAATTATTTATCAGAAGTGTACGGACAAAAATAACATTTCTTTTACGGTAATGCATCTTTAGCAGATGGTTTTTTTCTCGGTACTTTATTTTGAGGATCAAGCAGACCATATTCCCAAACAAGATTAGCACCATTAGAACTTAATTCATGTATTAACTAAAAAACACAAGTAAAAACCAAAGAAAAAAAAAATACTAAATCATATAAAAGTAATTTTTTTTTATTCTACATTTAATTGACTTGGTGGCCAATAACTTCGTTTAAAAGATTTTATTTGTGATATATGTCGACCAAGACTTAAATGTACACTACAACATTCATCACATAGAAGTACACCGTGATTGATTGAACACCATTCAGGACCTTAGTGCAAAAAGAAAAAAAGAAGAAAATTAGCTTTAGCAAAATATGGACAAGGTGATTTGAAGACCAGAATCAATTTTTCTTTTTAACCGGTACGAACACTTTTTCCTTGGGAACAATACACATCTTATAGTGGTATAAAACTTGCAACGAATGTCATACTGTTACGACTTATGTGGGTGTGACTGTAGGGTGTGCATTAATAGAAAGGAAAACATCAACATCAGCAACCACACATTTACATACCCATACTCACACCTCTTGATCACATAAAGTTGTTGACTTATAATCCGAAATATGCAGAAACAACTTTTTTTAGTCCTGATAACTTCATATCCAATAGTCCTAGTAAATCAAGTCTATTTTTATGGTCACGGTCAAGTTGGAACAACTTGTTTTTCTCTTTCGGAGCCGTATTGGCCTCCTTCTGGTTTTGGTCCCGATGTTAACTCACAGAACTAAAATCAAAACTATTTTCACACGTCTATTATTATGAAAAGATGAAGATTAGAAACAAAAGAAGTATACTCTAGTAAACATTCCGCTTAACTGTTTTCTTGTTTCTTAAACAACAAACTTCATCAGAACAATACTGAAGCATAGTCTTTTTATATCCAGTGTGGAGGTCGAGAAGGCAGCGCTCCTTCGAAAATTGGGTTGATCCATCTCTACATTGTACAACATTTTGTGTCTATGTTACGAAAAATAGATATTCGCTGTCCCGCATTTTCAAATCCATTCTCCAGAAGAGAAAATTTGAGTGAAACACTGATGAAACGAAAAATATTTCTTATCAAATAAATATAATAACTTACCACTTTGTCCACAATCATGGCATTCTTTGACTGTTGTTTCGGAACTTTTTGGCATTTTTGTTAAAGATTCATCTAGAAATGATTTTCAAAACAATAAATACGGTATATGTACATATATATATATATCTTCCTGTCCGTTTTTTTTTATTTTTAAATAAACACATCATGTATAAACAACTATATGGTGGGTGAAAATGATAAATAGATCTTTTATCTCTCACATGAACAAGTCGAGAACAAAAAAACAAACGAAAAGAAAAAAAAACGTGATAAAACAAGACACATAATGAGAGAAAATGTGACATGAATAGTCACTTTTCTTTCATGGTTGATCGTAAACTTTGCTTTTTTCTGTTATCCAAAAACGACGAAGAATAAGTCACAGGATGCAATTTTATGATTTAATGCTTTGTGTTTTGCTTTGTATGGAAGAATAGAACGTGATATTTGTTTCTTTTTTTTCTGATATAATATATATATATATTGCAAGTTCTACTGTACGATCTTTTAACCGAGAAACAAAAGAAGAAAAAAAAAACAGTAACGGAAAACGAACAAAAAAAGTAGCAGTTGTTTTTTTTTTATCAAGGCAAAAAAATGCTTATGTACATAGGTGAGAAGAGAAACACTAAAAGAAAAGAGAAAACAAAAAAAAACAGAAAAAAATCCGACATAGTCATTTTTCTATTGTCGTCGTGTTCGTTTCTAGAAAGACAAAAAAAAAATGATACAAAATAATATATATATATAAAGATCTATTTCGAGTATATTTATTTACCCGATCATTTGTTCGAATAATTGAATCACCATCACGGATTTTTGGATATTCAAGTTCAAAATAATTAAATAATTTTTCTAGATTATCAGCAGATATTTTCGATAGACCATTTTTAAGTAATGTTTCTTTTATATCATGAACTGATTTATAGAATTCATCTTTTGATGATATCATACCACTCTAAATAAAAGAAAAAAACACTTTCATTATTGTGAAAGAAAAATCAACATCGAATACAAATAAACACTTGCAGCTGTGCAAAACATCAACACTGATACGCACGGCATAAGCGGTGAAAGTATGGACTGTCTCAAATACTTTTTCTTCTTCTATTCCGGTTAATACATTTACGTAGAGCATAATGCGTTTTATACAGACGTCAATCTATTGCACTGTCTTCTGTGGCTAATAATAACAGACTTATGAGAGAACTTCTTCAGATGTCTCCTTCTGATTCTAATGATTGTTTTTTACCTAAAGATACTACATAATAATCTACTACAATCTAGGTTATTATTAACGATTTGATTAAATTATCGAATTTTAATCTGAAATTTCATTGATATAGAGAACTCAATTCGATAAACTTCTATTAAAAAACTTACAAGTTTTAAATAAAGCTTCTTTCAGAGATGAAACTTTAAAAAAAAAAATGCATATTGTAGAAAAGGGTATAATTCTTGAAAGTCTCATATCTCGAAGTAACTTCATTTAAAACTGTGTACATTCAATTAAAGTGTATCTTGTGTTTAAGTTTTCAATGTTGAGTAGAAATTATAATTTCTGAAATAACACCTCACTGTTATTTTTCTGAAGTTCAAATCAACCTAACATCTCAAAGATAGTCTATGGAAAAGAACACTATGTCGTCGAGCTCTACAAATTGGTATAAAGCTGATTACGAACGGAGATTCACATGGAAGAATCTTTTCTTACATGCTAGATTAACTAGAATCAGCCAAAGTTTCACCGTCGCTTTTGGCGGCTAAGATTAAATGCCTATTAAATACTTCCAACAGGGAACAAACACATAATGCAACATCTTTTTGTCTTGCGAAATATTTCTGCTTCGACATTGAAATTCTTTGTTTCCTAGTAAAGCAGATCAGAATCTTTTCTTTCGAATAAACATAAACGTACGCATAGGTTCTGTTACCATGCGCTACTGTTTATAGTTGTTTTAAACTATTATTCGAAGAAGAAAAATTATTTAATAAAATTTTATTCAATACATAATGAATGACCTCTTTTGGCATGTCATCTTTTCATCAGCTACTACGTTTTATTTAAAAACAAAATATACTGCAAGATGCACTGAAAAAAGTTCTACAATTTACAAAGAAAAACTTATTTTATATATGCACCTTTTGCTTAGAAAATTGACAAAATTCTTTTCAACATTGTGAACATGAATTTATTTTATTATTTCGGTGATTAAAAAAAATCATAATTATCAATATTATCCTATTGTGTATTATAGCCAATGGCGTCCCATAAGTAATAATCAAAAAGTTTGAATTCAGAATGATTTATTGGTCATCTGGATTTGTTCACGAAATGTTCTATGGGCCATTTCGTCGTCTCCTGATGTGCATAAGGTATTGCATTGTTTTATTCATAGATGAAATTGCCGACCAGTAGCCGTTTATCTTGAGCATATCAAAGAACAACTTCAATACAATTTTGATGTGATAATATTTCACCAGAGTCAAATGTAATTTCTAGATGTAAGACCATTTGTAGAAGCACCTTGTCGCGTCATAATTCTTTTTCAATACTTAGTCTTTTAATTTATACCTCCTTGTTCATCTCGCGCAACCCAATTGATTCGAATCGAACAAAAACCATCGATTGACCGTTCAATACAATGCGCGCTTTACCGTCAGTAATGCGAATAGACGTACAAGATCAATCTTATCGATTGGCTGTATAAACACGTTCTAATGAAAAGTATTGAGATTTTAAAAAAGTGAATTGATCGTTTGCGAAAAAAAAACTATGATCCTATTCGCAGCGCCGAATAGAAAGTTGTCTTTTATTTTTATAAAACAAAAGGTGAATATAAATATATATATAAAATAAGCTTTTCTTTGTAAATTGTAGAGATTGTTTTTTTAATAAAATGTATTACGTGATGAAAGAATGACATGGAAAAAAGCGACTATTTATTATGACCCATCCCTTTGCTATCTGCATTTGAATGATTCAAGTAAACTTACAACAAGATTAGCTTGAATAATATCAAATTTAGCTAATAAATTTTGTTGACAATTAACATCCAGAAAACGAAAACCATATTGTGATAGTACATTACGAAGAAGACTAAAATTAATATTATAATTAATTTTAAAATAAAATAGATATAAGATGAAGACAAAAAAGTTTACAAGCCAAGAATTTTTAACCTTTTCTCTTAATAATAATAACAACCAGAAGAAATGAGAGGAATGATTCGACGACAGTCATTGTGTGATAGGTCTAGAATGCTGTTTTCTATTCTAGCCTTTGATGTAGAATTCATTGGATCCAAAATTTTCGAACCTAGACCAGGACTAGCTCTACTTTGCGGTCTTTTGTCGAATGAGTATAGTTGATTGAAGATAGGTCGTAGTGATCTTATTTTGTTTCGAAATATTTTCTCTATTAGATGAACTTGTCCTGTAAAACATTTTTGATAGAAAACTGGTTTTGGTTTTCCAAAGACATTTTCTCCAATCTGCTCTAGTTGTTATTGTTTTAAGGAAAAAAGTCAAAAATACTGCATTTCTAAATCTTTTTTGCCATTGCAAGAAAAGAGAAAAAGAAATTACGTGTCAGCCGCTACTGTCCAACTTTCATCACTAGATGAATTATTATCATCATGAGATTGTCCATTTCGTTTCTTTAATATATTACCTAACGACAAGAAAAAAAAACAAATTTACAAATTAAAATTAAAATATTTAATTACTTTTTGTTAATTGTTCATTATGTTCTGTACTGTTCTCATTATCATCAATACATTGAATACATTTATCTTCCATTAATGGTCGTATATTTGATGTTGAACATAATGATTTTATTGGGGATATTAATGGAGTTGTAATTGTTTTAATTGAATTTGAATTATTATTTAATTGTATTGAACTACAACGTTTTATTGGAATACTATTTGGAGATGATATATTAAGGTCATATGATGATATTGTTGAATCATTATGTTGCTGTGTTGATAATAAATGTATATTGGATGATGTTTTATCCAAATGTGTTCTTGGTAAATTATATTGTTGTATAAGACGTGTTGATGTTGATTGTTGACGATAATCAGATGATGAAAAAATAGTTGAATTACCATTTGTTAAATCATCTGTTGTAGTATGATTATTAATTGTTAAAGGCACATTTGTAGTAGTTGATGTTGATAAATTATTAGTTGTTATAGTATTTAATCGTTGTTGTAAATCATGAGAAGTATCAAGAGAATCCGTTGTGCTTGGACGTGGCATAATAGCTCGTTCCTTAAATAAAGAAACAAGGCAAAATATGTGAAATTTTTTTTTCCTACTATTGGAATTTGGTAAAAGAAGACATTTCAAGAAGTTAATTCAATTTTTTTTACGGTCAAAAAAATGAAGAATAATTTATGTTGATATACCAACCGGTTTAAGTATTTAGATCGATATGGAAAAAAAAATCTATGATCTGCAAGTTACAATCTAACAAAAAGTGCACTCCAAACCTTTTCCGAAGTTATACTGAATCATTCACAGACAGAAAAAATCCGATGGATTCTCTACCAATCTAAGTTCGATAATCAATGTGTAAAGATTAATAAAATGCTGAGTTAACAATGAAAATTCGTGTACAGTATGTTAAGGAGATTGATCCCATTCGAGACAACTGAATGTTCTCACTATATACTATTTTAAAATATGACCTGCTCATAACGTTCGCGGACCAAGATATTTACAGTCTATGTCATATGACCACACTTCAAAAATCTCAGCATGATTAGATAGAGTTCAGCAATTATTATTTTACATAACAAAGATATGCAGGATATGGATTAGACAAGACAAACTATAGGATATTGATTACATAACAGGATATATGTAGGCTTGTAAAAAAAAAAAACTTTCTCTATCTAATGGTATATGCAGTATCAAGTTCTACTGTGTATTCTTGACATATCGTTTAAGTGGCGCCACCTATCGACATGTCAACAGTAGTACGCAGTACAGCTTGCTAACATATGCACGATTTAACAGAGAAAGTCTTTCTCTAGAAGTTGACATATATCTCTGAAAAATTCATAATCTCATTTTTCTTAGTTAAGGTACAGAGTATGTGAAAAGAGCTTGTCTTGGATATCTATAATATATAACTATGGCAATCTGTTTAACTTACAGAACACGATCTTTTATTGTAATTATTTCAAAGACTTATAAATTTAATCGATTGGAATTTTAAAATAAAATATCCATAGATCGGATAGATAAAATTTTAATTATATTATTTGTTTTTTCTTATTCAAAAAGAAAAACATTAGAATATTGACAAACCTTATTTCTTTTCTTTGTTGTTTTAAAGCAAGCAAGTACAGAAACTGATCCACTTGTTGTCGTTGTATTATGCGTTTGTTTAGGTTCATAACACATGCTTGTAGTGGTAGCAACTGATATTGGTTTTGCATCAGTATTGATTGTTGAAGTTGTCGGAGCTGTTGTTGCTCGTACACGAAAAACAGGTACATCTAGAAATCGACGAAAATTGTTTTTTTTTTCTTGTTATTCATCCTCTTTGAAACATACTTGAATTCACCGATGTCATTCGATAAATCATTGGACCATGTGTTGATGCTGGTCGTTGTTGAAAATTAATTGCCATTGGTTTAGTTATTTCATCATGTCTTGGACTTGTTGCTATAGTCGATGATAAACTAGTTGCTAAAATAAACAAAAAGAAAATAAATTAATTGAAGATTTATTATTTTTGTTATTAAAACTAACTATGATTACTATTATTCGGTGAATATACAGGAAGAACTTTAGCAATTGGTCGTAAAATTTTACCAACAGGTTTATCTGTTGGTGTTGTACTTGATGAACGTCGACGTAGTTTATTTAAATTTGGTGATGTTGTTATAGTTACTTCTTGTGCTGCTTGAGGTATTTGATCAATAGAACAAGTTGTTAATGGATGAATTGTTGTCGAAAGAGATTCATTAGATGTTCGCGATGGTATTACAATTTGAACATTTTTTGGTAATGCTGAAGTTAATTTAACTAATTTAACTGGACTATTATTAACAAGACATTGTTGTTGTTGTTGAGGTGGTGGTGGAAGATTTGTTGATGATGATACAAGAATAATTTTTGTATTACCAATTTGAATATTTGTTGTTGGTTTTGGTACAACTGTTTGCAGATTTAATATACGTGGTGGAGTAACAAATAATGTTGGTGTTGAAGATTTAATTTGTTCAGTTGGAATAATTGAAGAATTTGTTTGAATAGTTGTAGATGTTGTTGGTTGTAGAATCATTTGCTGTTGTTGTTTTATAGGTGATGCTTGTTGCATGGAATTTCGTAATTCACTTGCAGTTGATGAGAGTAATGCAAGATCATTACGATAATAATCCGATGAGGATGTTGTCGAAATAGGTTTTATTGCAGATGTAGTCTGAAAAAGAATAAATTAAATATTTTATATCGATGATGAAAACAAAAAATTTAGAAATGAAAACTTTTTCATCTTTTTTTTCTACAGCTTGAATCAATGGGAGAAAAGATTATATTAGTTGAAACAATTTCCTATCACGAGAAGGTATTTTCTATTATATGAATTTGTTTGCAAAATATTTCTAATAAAAAATCGGTTTAAAGATCTGTCACTCAAACCTGCTAATGAGACTTTGACAAGTACTTCTTTTGATAGGAAATTATTTCAGCTACTCGAATCTTTTCTCTGATTTGCTTTAGTTGTTATCATGAAGAAAATATGAACGATATTCGTTTGATTTAGAATGAGAGAGTTATTTTAACTGAATAATTAAAAATTGTTATTGTTTACGTGAAAGATATAAAAAGAAAAACCAGATAGACATTAGTGAGCTATGAATTTACACATCGCTAACTTCCTATATGTCCGAACGCTGTTCATCTCGGATTTAGATGGACAATGGAAACGTGCGCTTCTACATTTAAGTCCGTGCTGCACTATATTTTGTTTTAAGAGGCTAGACTCCATTTTTCAGAACATTTGAAAAACGAGAAGAATGGCTTCATGAAAGTCAAAAAGATGTTAAGAATGAAACATAATTTGATGGATCTCTACCTGAATAACATAGACAATTATCATCAGATTATGCCTAAAAAGTCCGAAATAGTGATACTTACATTTGTATTAACAATATTTGTCAATGGTTTCGATTCATTATTCATATTGGTAGTATTACCGGGGGTACCCGTAATCATATTAACAATAAATGGTGCATTATTAAGTAGTGTTATCGCAACAAGTTTATCAACAGTTTCACGAACAATATCTTCAATATTTTCTGTTGATGATTGTATAATATCATCATCCATAGATTCATTTAATTGTTGTCGTTGTTCTAGTTGTTGTTGTTCATGATGATTATTATTAATATCATCATCATCCATAAAATCGATATCATCTGTAAAATCATCATTATTATTAAATGATTTACTTCGATGTCGATTCGATGGTATTCGTTTTGTATTATTTAAATGATGATTTGTTCGTTTACGTGCTATTTTAAATGAATGATTTGATTGAGATGTTAATGAACTTGGATGTGATGATGGTAATACAGATGATATTATTGATCGATGTGGTTGTGCTTGTTGTTGTTGTTGCAATTGTTTTGATGATGTTGATGGACGTGTTTGAGAATAATGAGGAGGTGATGATGATGGTGAAGTTGAATTTGATTGACCATTTACACGAAGTAATTCTTTTTGTACAACTTCAATTAATGTATCTAAACTTGATTTACGTTTAGTTGCTTGTTTAGCACGAACGAGACGAATAACTTTTGAACCTAAAAAAAGAAAACAAAAAATTTTATATTCATAATAAAATTGACACTTTTAAAGTTTGTTATTTATCTCGTTGGTTTTGATCTATTTCTTTGAAACAAGTCCTCTAACTTGATGACGGAAATGTTCGAAAAGATCGGACTTCAAAACCAGTTTCATTTAAGATTGAGAATTTTTTGTTGAAACTATATGCGTTATGTAGGTTCAAATCAGTTATGAATACTCTGAAAAAAGTTCGCGCCTTCAGCATATTACTATGGAGATACTACACTTATATAATATTTTTTAAATAGATGCTGTGGTAAGGAAAAAAAACTTTCCATAGAGATAGACTTTAATGAGAATAGTTTAGATTAAAGCTATGTTTTCCACGCCGCTTATATATAGTGACAAATTCCGATGTTCTTATTTTAGAATAGGCACAATAGAAAAACCAGATAGTTTCGTAATCAGCTAATCTCTTTAAGGCATGCCTCTATGCAAATTTTCAAGTCAAAATTTGAAAAACAGTTTTCCTATTATGAGCCATGCCAATAACAACAAATAAACTCCAATTTTTCAAAAAACTGCAGTATCTGTAAATGGAAATGCACACAGTGGAAAGTATCTTCATTTTTTATATCTTGCCGCCAAAGACTGGTTTTTCAATCATAACTCGGCAGAAACTAAGGTTTATAGGAACTAAACTTATTCAGACATTCTTTAATGATCTACAAATCAATTGACATGTTCTACAAGTTATCTTAGACTTGATATTTTAATAGCGCGTCATACATTCTAAATATACGAAGTAGTGTCACACGATATACAATAAAAGCAAAACAAATTGATCTACCATTGAGATCTGTATTAGTGAAATTTGAAAAATTTTGTTTTGTTGTTCCAACATTAATTGTCGATGATTGTTGTGTTGCATTAACAATAGCATCTTGTTGTATTTCATCATCATCTGTTATTTAAAAGAACATTAAATAAAAAAACATTTTTTTTTGTTGTTGATAAAACTTCCTTACTTAGTTTCATTGTTTGTGTATTTTGAATAACTGTTGTCGATGGATTTGTTTGTAAAACACATTCAGTTAAATGTATATAATTATTATTTGAAGAATGATGTACAACTGATGGACATATATAATTAGCTTCCATATCCCAATTCATCGTTGTGTGGTTACTAAATAAAAATTTATATATATAGATATTTAAATACGTCAGACTTTATTGATTAACCTTGAGGATAACTGTTCGTCGTAGAATATACGTTGTTCTTGAGTAATACAGTGTGTATCTTGTAGTACAGGTAAAATAGTTAATTTGTCGTCAGTAAGATTACCTTGAGCGCCAAATGTAGGATAAGAATTTATTCCTGAAAATAAAAACAAATAATTATTTATTATAAAAAGAAGAACTAATAAAAGGATTTGTACCCATATTCTTGATTGTAGCCGTTGAACGGCGCTGTAAAGTTTCGTTTTCCATGTCTTCATTGCTGAATTTAAAAAATAAAAGAGATATTTTATTTTAATGAATATTTATTTTAATAATTCATACTTTATTAAATGAAGATATATAGATATATAGAAAATTTAAATATGCTTCTTTTTCAATAATAAAAATAGAGAATAGGGGAAGAAAAAATATCGAACAGAAGTAAATAAACAAGCAAACTAGATTATATACGTAGTATGTGCAAATGTAGTAGCGGTTATTCGCTCTTATTCTTGTTCATTTCATTCGTCGACATTACTGTCATTGTGATGGAGCATTCAGGGAGCTGAGTAAAACCTCGACAAAGAATAATAGATGACATTTTTTAAAACATATTTTCAAAATAAACCATGAATTATAATTATTATCAAATTATTATTAAATCTATACATGTAATCTCTTTACAGTTGCAAAACATAGATCATAGATGTCACTACTTACAAGGATGAGAAAAGTCTTTCAACTACTTGAAATCCGATAATATCTGTGAATTTTTATGTATGAATGACAATCTTGCTGTCGCTACTTCTGAGGAAACGTTTTCAACTAATAAATCGCTTTTGAATTCGGACTCTGTGTAGAGTTATAGGGATTTTATTCGGATTTTAGTCTCTAACAAGGTATATACGAAAACATCGAATAACGATAGTTCGACCTGAGATTTAATATATCGAGAAGGAAACATTCTATTGACAAATACAACTCTCTGCGGGGCAAGATCTTAAGTCGAAATATTATCATTCAATTTGTTGGGATCTACCATACCAATGCTAAAATTCAAGTAAAACGCTTATAACTCTGATTGCAATTTTGGACACTTAAGTAAAAGGATTGCGTTAACAGTTTTTGTGCAGTATGAATCTGTTTCTTACAGGGACTAAACCAATATAATAATCATAAGAAAAAACCAATATAGCTTCATCAACTCTCGGTGCCATGTCTATTCAAGGGTGACAAAAATGCACAAGAAAATTGTCTATTCATGGACTAGTTTCATAGGAGTCAATAAAGAAGTATTGTATATAAACAATTTTTTATACGACGATGTAAGTATCGTAACCAGACAAGGACTAGAGAATGCTCAACTCTCTTCGACAGACACTTGAATTCCGCTTAAAAATAGGCTTGAACTTCTTTTGTCAGCATCATCAGAGGATCTTCACCCCCTCCCTGAAACGTTTTCTGGTAACACCACAACTGCAATACAACAGATATTAGTCACAAAACTGACAATTCAAATACAAAAGACTCTAATTCTAATTAATTTGTTAGATACAAAGTTATTGATATAAATATAATATGTTTATTATTCCAGCGATTTTCTATAGTATTAGTCATTGTTTGACGAGCATTTTTCAATGCGATAGAAAAGAGTATTCTTTTATCATTCAATAAATCTTTTAGTAAAAATTCAGTATATGCAGTGATGTCTCGAGGGGGTTGAAGGGTGACTTTTTTTCCAATCCTGGCTATCTTTAAAAACTCTTAAGTAAATACTATAGATCATAACTCATGATGTATCTGTGACATTTATCGTTCTTGAGCTTTATACTTGTTTCCAAGTGATATAGATTAGAAATAGCCATAGATTGCCGTCGGATTAAAGAAATAGTGTTAAATCTTAGTCTGAATTTTCTCATTTTAACTTTTAATAAATATTTATTTCGGTTGTCGTTCAACGAATGACTTTTCTTAGAAATCATCTAACAAATTAACTCTTGTCTATTAGTTGACATTCTTTTTTTGCATATATTTAATAACAGCTCGAAGTGCAAGAACTTCATTATTTCCTAATGTACAAAATTTTTTTATTTAGACTTACACAAATAGTTCTAAAATAAAGGCCGTAGTGTTCGGTTTTACTAATAAACTAAATGGAATTCCACACATGACTTTCTTTTGAAATCAATTTGTTTGTTTTTTTATTTTTCATTTTTCTTTACATTTCAAAATACAAATAAATCTAATAAACTCCTATTACATAAAATCACTAATACGTCGTAGTTCTCTTAAATTCACTTGACGTTTATCATGTCGTATTCGACATAAAATAATCACAGCCGGTACAATAAATGTTACAATAAAAAGAAAAGTACCAAGTAATACACTAATAATACAAATAATCAATTGTTGATGTACCCATATTGATGACGTATTGGTCATTAAGTTTATAAATTCATTATCTGTTGAATTCATATCATTATGGTTAATTATTATATATCTTCAGAGATAAATATAATAAATTATTTCTTCTAGAATCTATTGTATAAGATTGACATTAAGAAGAAAGAAGAAAGCAAAAAAAGAAGCAGCTGAATATTAAGATACGAATAACGGAAAGAAATTTCTCATACAATAGAAATAACAACTGTCTTTCTGTTGAGCTCATAACATATAAATTGCTTTTCTTTTCTCATGATATACATAACTAAGACTATGTTATGTTTACTAAATCAATAATACATATGTTCTTTATTTTTCTTTCAGCAAGTAACAGCCGCTAAAGCTGTCAGACTAATCAAAATAGAATGATATAACATTTTTTATTTACGTATGATTTGAATCTAATCAATAATTGAGAAAAAATGAGTGATAAACAGAAGAATTCTATCCAACTTAAATTTTGTATAGATAGTTCCATTAGATATTTAATGTACAATTTAATTTGAAAACTATAGGTCGAATATATTGTCAGTTTTTGGATAAAACAAAATTTTGTTCCAGGTGCTAGATTCGTTAAAACAACTGAGTCACAAAAAAGTCAAATTTCAGTGCGCTTAAAGAAAAACGTCATTTTTTGTGGAAAATAAAAAGACTTGGACAATAAATTATATATGCTCTAAAAACTAGGACTTTTGCTTTATCGATTCATAAGAAAAGCTTTTATTCTACAAAAAAAATTGTTCATTTTCCGAAAAGACGTCTGCAGTAAAGTTTGCTATTACTTTTTCCCACTAATTCAATATCGACGAAATTTCTGAGAACGTTCTTCTATATATGTAGGACGTACACTCAGTTTCTCAAGTGAGATACCGCCTTTCTAAAAATCTTGGTTCTCAAAAGTTTTTTTTTACGATTTCTTTGTCACAAAAGCACCATGAGAGAAAAATGCAGACACATTTGGAATTAGCGTGAACAATTGCCTGGAATGATGACCCATTTGTTAATTTTTAAAATAAATTTTTTTTTCTCAGAAGCTTATGATAGAGATTTTCCATCCATAATGGTCTTTTCTTTCATCAGACTTATTTTTGAATACGAGAAGCTAATATTTGTATGAAATTAGATTTTATCGCGAATCACGTTTTACTGGAATCAGAAACTTTTTATTGTCGTTGTAACTCGAAAAGCTAACGTGTTTATCGATCAGCTGATCAGTGTCAGGATTAATGTGAAAAATCGCCATAGTAAAACTCATCACTATGAGACCTCAATTAATGCGCACTAACATGTTCCTAAAGAAAGCTGTCGATTAATGGCTTAATGTTCTATTTCACTCATGCTATCTTCATTTTAGTTATGTTGAAACTTGAGAAACAACAAAAGTCTACAAAAAGGAGAGAATCGTTAGAAAGCAAAACTGTCCATACTTCCGTAAAACTACTCAATTTTATGGTACCGGTTTCGTCGTTCTGACTGTCAGAAGTCTTTGTCTAAATGAAATCAGACATTTTAACGCATTCTCTAATATATAGTTTATCTTCTCAAAAAGATTAAATTATACAGTGTTTTTACCGACAATACTTCGTTCATTTACTCATTTCTTCGGCCGGTCTATTTGTAAAATTTAGCCGTTTCAGTTCTCTATTGAATGGTGTAAGACACTCAAACGCACCCACATTTCACATCTTCACCTACAATCACACACACCCCAGTCACATCCACGTCCATACTCACATCACCACACGCATGCACACCCGTATCTACCCAGATGTCACACCGATTGTCACATCCACTCGCACTCACAATCTAGTTAGGTCCCATTCCTACATCCACACCATTCTCCCCCTATTCTATCTACCTCTTCATTGCTGTTGTTTTTTCAACATAAGATGTCAGCAGCTTACAAATTTAGTAGAATGATATCCGTACTTTTTATCTTTCTCTCTGTCTTCTTGCTATATTATTCTTATTGTTCTATTTACGAGTTTTTAGTTTCTTTTTATCTTGCATTGTCAAGTTCGTTTTATTGTGACAATGAAAGTTGGAAAGAAAAAAACATAAAATGATGTAATGGCACTTTTCTTTTTTATTTCTTGTTGACAACCATACACGTATCTTCAATTGAAATTAGGTCAAGTTTATCATTTTGTACGTCAATATGAAAAAGTATACACATTTAATGTCGTAGGAAAATCTAGAAACAAAAAAAGTGGACATTGATTGCATAAATAGAAAAGGGAACTTACATCGAAAACACACTCTATTATTCACTATTCTACATTACTGATCGAACAGGAAGCAATATATCCAAATGGATGGACAAGAATCCAAACAAAACACAACAGTCTCGTTGACTATCATAGGACGAAGACGACGCATGGCTGAAAATTACTTGATCATATAGGTTGATGGAAATATTGACATGGCAAATGACGACTGTCAACATACACTCACACGAATGCATTCAAACTCTCAGCGACAATCACCAGGAGATAGCATTCGTTATCTCCTCGGAGGCATTGGGACAACATCTCGTGCCAGATATGCATGGCATGCCAAAATTAAATGTCATTTACATCTTTTGTCGCAACAAACAACGCTATGCAGCATGGGCCAAAGATTAGACGAAAGTTGAAGGTGCCCATAGTTTAATCGGGCCCATCTGTGATGCATTACAAATGGATGTCAAGCAATGTAATCAAAATACCATGTCGATGAACATTATTGATGCGAATGATGGAAGTTCTATGAAAATCTCAATCAGCTAGAACTAACCTTCACGTATTCACAAATATTTAAGGAAATCCTCCTTAGTTTGAAGAATACCGTGGCAATGAACACGAAACAAAAATTATTAAAAAAAATTCGGACATGCCTATCAACCATCAAAAGCCATTTGGTGGCATACACATGAGTGCTTCAAATATAAAATTCTCAATCGGGTATTACGGACGACGACGTCATCATACGAATGGAATTTTTTTTTCGTAATGTACACCAACCGACAAATCGAAATTTTACACAAGATAAAAGTCAATATTTGTCATGGCAAGACTTTTTTAGTATATCGAGGGCAGGGATTATTGACAGCTGATTTTGGAAAACTTGTAGAAAACAAAGATGGACTTTTATCGTTCAATAACTTTTGGTTCACTAGTAAAAATCGAGAAATATCCCTCGGTTTCGCCAACCGAGCCTTGGAAGCAATTGATATGGTCGGTATCCTCTTTCAAATGACTATTAATTCCACTGTCTCATCGACTCCATTTGCCTCCATTCAGGGAGTGAGTTATTACAAAGGCGAAGAGGAAATTCTCTTCTCCATGCATACTGTTTTTCGAATCGATGATATCCGAACAATTGACAACAATCGTCGACTTTATCAAGTGGATCTTAAACTTACTTCGGATGACAGCCAACAACTTCCTCAATTAACCGATCGTATACGACAAGAATCTTTACGTCCGACAAGTTGGACACGATTGGATAAATTACTGCTGAAAATAGGTCTATTCGATCAGGCCGAAGAATTGTATATCGCACTTTTAGAATAGACATCCAACGACTGGATTATAGTAGATGTCTATCATGAGCTTGGAATGATTAAATACCACCCAGGACTATACAAAAAGCAGTTTCATTTTATGAAATATATCTTGATATCTACTGAAGAGCTCTCCCAGAAGATGATCTACAATTGACTAGTACCTTCAACAACATTGGTCTGTCTTATGATGGGCTGAGGAACAATTCGAAAGCACTAGAGTTTTACGAAAAAGCACTTATTATAAGATACGAAGCTCTACCTTCGAATCATTCCGATTTGGCTACTTCCTATAACAACATCGGCATGACGTATTATGGCAAGGGTGATTATTCAAAAGCGCTTTCGTTTCTAGAATAGGCACTTGTTATTCTACAAAAGTCACTTCCACCAATGCATCCACCATACCAAACAGGTGATAGACTATACTGACGATGTAAAAAAGAAGATGTAAATTGGTTCTCATTGCTAATCATCCCGTCTGGCTTTTCGCGGCTCATTATCACGCGCATTAGGCCAAGGATCTCCTCCCTCACTGTGAACCTGAAACGTATGCACGCAGAGCAGATCATATCGCAGTGGTAAGGCAATAAACATAGGTATGACGCTCAATGGCGAAGTCAGGAACCTACGAACATAGCGGTCTTCCAGAATACTACACTGCTTTCGAAATAACAGGCACATTAAGTCTCTCTGGGTCAGGCTACGAAGTCACCTGACAGGCTGTGATATAAAATGGTACCACTCCCTACTATACAATAATATAGCTGTGAAAAAAAAAACAGATTAACGTAAAGGTAATTTATTGGGTTTTTATATACTGTGATAAATATATAAATTGAATATTAAAACATTATTGCATTCGAAATCTCCCTTGATTAGAAAACAATAAATTTCGTTTACACTATTCTATTGTCTACTTTTATGAATAGAAAAAAATCACTATAAGCGATGTTGTATTTTTGAGATTGTATTATATATATATATCGTTGCATGAGTTATTTAATAAATTTTACGATTCGACCGAAACGAGAACATTGAAGTCGATAATTTGACTTCGGAACATTTTAAACATAAATCATGGAAATAATACAAATAAAAATAAAATTAATTTTAAAAATACGATCATATTTATTAACGATTCATATATACATGTAATTATATGAACATAAGATAATCATAAGAAAGACAAAAACATTTCCTTTTTTGAAGCAGTTTGTTTTTATCTTAAAATACATACTGAATTGAATATTGAATATTTCTATTAATTTTAACTCCTGAATCAAAACAATATCCTTATGACGCATCATGATAATATTTGATTCGTTTGGGATGCAGAATAAGCATTCTTGATGGATGTGAATGTGATTATGCATAGCCGTATGAGTTTCGCCATTCATCCACATCCACACATATTTCCTCGTCGAAATGATTTGACTCATGAAGAAAATAGTCTCATAATCAACTCGCTTTTTTTTTCAAAAGAAAATTCTTATTCAGTGGTAATCAGCACTACATCGTTACAACTTTTACTCCATTGTATTCAAATATATTTAAGTTGATTTGATTGTTTTTATGATTAGTTTTAATCCAAAAATATGCGAAGAGTATTTTTTGTTGTTACACATGTTTATATAAAACTATAAAAAAACAACGAATAATTACTTTAATGCCTTTTTTAATTCTCATATTACAAACAATTGACAACATAAACAAATAAGAAAGCAATATGATGTTCTTGAAAGATTTTTAAATAGTATATATATATGTCTTTATTTTAAGCAATGCTTTTATTTTGTTTAAACTCTACTGAAGTAGGCTAACAGAATACTAATAAGGACTGAATTTGAGTTAGGATTGATTGTCTTTATCGCTTATTTGACATCTATCACGAGGCATTTAGTAACTTGAACAATGAAATTAATTATTTTCTGAGCAAATGATTTAAAATCAACTAAAGTACATGTGCATACTATATAAAGAACGTATACAAAGAACAAAGATTATGTGGCAATTTATTAATACATGGAGATGTACCATCCGTTGAAAGTTTATGGAGAGCAAATAATTTTCTAGTTTGCAATCACTAGAAACTTCATTGTACAAAAACTGGAGAAAAATAACGTTTGATGATTGACAAAAAAACTGATCGAGAACAATCTTAAAAGATTTTTAAAAGTAACGAAAAGTAGCGAAGAATAAATACATTCAAGTTAAACGAAGTTTTTTCTATGTTGCCAAATTAATATGTGTGTCTCAGTCAAATGGTGTGTTTCTTTTTGTTAATAAATTTTTTTTTCATTAACTTCCAATAATTGATCATCATATTTTTATATGTATATTGCCGAAACTACATGAGAAGATATGATATGAATGCAGACTGTCTAGAGCCTATCGGGTTCAAGACCAACTCGAGAGATTCTATTCTTAGCTTAACACAATCCGAGAAATGTACATATCATTTGTATGTACTTTTCATATTGAGATTCATTTTCTGGCCTAATTCAAAAACGTTACAGTCCATTGTTATATTCTTTTTATTTTAAAGCCATTTTTTTTTCGCTTATATACTATGTCGTGATTTCTTCAATAACATAACAAAATACTGAATTAATTTCTCTTTTAAATCGAGCTATCTATACTGATCATAATCTATTTTCGCTTGTTTCCATAATGCTGATATTTTTTTTCCTCCAGTTTAGGAAAAATGTCTGCAATCAAGAAGATACGATGTAATCTATTGTTAGAATAAATTTGAAATATTTATTCATTTCAATAGATTTTGAAAGATTCAAAAATTAATAATAAAGTGTAATAATTTTCAAAAAAGTATATTCAAATTTTTTGCAATGACAAAACTTGCCAATTAATTGTTCATTAGAATTGATGCGTATGATTTGTTAAAATTGAACACGAACGAGAGAAAAAGCAATAAATTGTTTGTGTTAATAGGACATGATTTTTCTTGTCTGTCAGAATAATTATCACATTTATCTAATGATGAAGACAAAATAGATGCCAGTCTGTTGGTAAATAAACCAGATAACACATGAATAAAAATATGAATGGCAATATTCAAAACTATTTATTGAAAAGTAAAATATGACACCCCTCGATTGGTCAAATGTGTCGAAAACTGGAACATTTATTCAACATACATTCGGTAAGTCATCTTTAGATGAAAAAAAAAAAGATCATACAATAAATATCTAACAAGGTGCATTGCCATTAATTGGCTCATTGAATGATGCCGGTGTCTTATCAGTCACTTCAAAAAGTTCAAGTTCAAAATCATGTACATTACCATCGTTAACGTCGACGAAACGTAAGTTTTTTTTTTTAATATTATTTGTTAATGAATTGGCTTCTTGAAAGAATAGATTTATTTAGCGAATAATTTTACATTTTCTAAAAAGAATTTTCTTTTCAATAAATTTACAATCAAATTGATAATTATTACAATTTAAAGATAACAATCAATATACAAACATTTTTCTATCGATAATAACAACCACAAAAAAATAAATTGTCGATAGAAAATTCACAAAAATTAAAACTTAGAATTTGATGAAGACATGTCTAAGTGTACAACGAAACTTGAATGAATTTGGGCTTGCTGCTAGGCCAAATCTACAAGAATAGTTTACAATTTGATAACCATTATCAAATCTCAAACTTTTTCTCAGTTCAAGTAATATAGACCGTCTTCAACCAGAAAACTCGGGAAAACCATAGGGACTTCGAAATAGCAATCTGATAGCTGGCTTTGCATGGTTGCGATCGGAACTAGAAAAAGCTGGCCATCAGAATCATTGGCTTAGATTATATTATTTTTTTTCTCAGGAAGAAACCCAAACCCTTATAACAAGGCTTTGGGTTTGTTGCAGCTTTAAACATGTTTACTACAACGTGAAAGTTGTAACAAGATGAAATACTAAGTTTCATAAGAAACAAAAGTTATAACTTTTATTATATATCATACTGTATGTAACGAAGAAATAAATGATGGCCCATTTGATTTCTTCCTATCTAAAGTTCTGTATTGGAGTTCGAGTCAAAGTTATGAAAAAAAAATACTCTTCAGAGTCAATATCGGACTTACATCAGTGGAACAGTAAAGTATTTTTATTTTTACATCGTAAGAAGTTTATTCTTCATATTAGACAAAATACATTACTTTATAAATTGATAAATAAGTTTCAAGAGAAAAAAAAATCATCAGAGAGACATTCTCATTAATAATTAGCATGAAAACGAAATATATATGATAGCCAAAAGAAAATCTTCTGAATCAAAATGTTTCACTCCATAGAACTCTATTCCTATCATAAATCTGAAGAGATAAACAATATATTTAGTAGATTTATGTTTTTATGAATATATTTATTCAGATTCTCGATTATCTACACCATCACTTTCTTCAAGTGATGGAAAAGGTAAACGTCCATTGTCATTTTCTCCAATGTCTGATAATTTATTAATACATACACAACAACAATCAATGGAAGTGAATTTTATTTCAACTGTTCAACGTTCGGATTATCTACCATCTCGAGTAATCATTATGTGTTATTTTTAATTCTTATTTAAATATTTATTTATAAATTTGATTTAAAAAGATTCTTGCTCCATTAATTGAACCCAATGAAAATCAATGTCAATGGTTGGGTTGTGATCTTTTATTTTCAACACCAATGCAATTAACAGAAGTACAAAATTTTAATGAAATAAAAAGGGGGAAGATCGAAAAAACTTGCTTGCTTCTATGTCAAAATTATCACATGTATATTGAACCCAATTGGTGATGTCAGTCAGCTCTTTTCTATCTACTCATCTCATGAACAATCAGAGTAGTTTTCATATGGTCTGATAGCGTATATCAAGTCTTGGCGCACGGTCTTGAGCCTTTATTGAATGATATTCAGTAGAGTTCGATAAGAAAATTACGATTTGGATGAAAAGTTAAGTGATATTCTGAATCTGTATCTCAAAATGAGCGAAGTTGCATGTATTTGAAAAATTGTCGTCAGCATTTTTTTTTGCTTGCCATAAAATTTACCGTAGCCCTTCTCAGAATTGGGTTAAAAATACGAATTTCATGAGAACTCTTTTTTTACTGTTTATTCATCTGCTATTTGTAGCAAGATTGAAAATACATGTGAATCCACTCAGTTTTGGATGCTGATTCAGAATATCATATTAATTTTTACTCAAATCGTAAATTTCTTACTGCAATTTACTGAATACTAGTCAATAAAGGCTCAAAATCTTGTTCTGAGAATAGTGTCCTTAGGATTTCATGATATGACTAGTGTTTTTCCTTGATATATTTTTTTTACCATTTTGAAGCGCTTGAAGTGGCCTATCAAATTATATCGTAACGAGTCTGGTAACTTCAAGAGATGAGTAGATACGGCATAAACAAGTACTCAATGACTACTAATTCTACTAGGATTCACTTTCTGTGATAATTTGACACAGAAAAAATAAAAATTTCTCGAGGAGGCAAATTTCAACAGTTATCGACTCTCTTCGTTCATATATATTTTGTTTTTTTTTCTTAGCATATTCGATCTGTTCATATTAATCGAACTGATTCTCGTACATGGTTATGCCAATGGCAATCATGTACACGTAGTCGAATACCATTTAAATCACTTTATTCATTATATCTTCACTTACGAACACATACACAAGATCGACCATATCAATGTTCACATATTGGCTGTACAAAAACATTTACACGTGCAGAATATTTACGTTTACATGAGCGTTCACATACAGGTAATTTTTTTTTTTCATTATATCTATTGATTTTAATTGTGAACTGTTCTTGTTTGAAATTGAATAGGTGAAAAACCATATCCATGTGAATATGCTGATTGTTCAAAAGCATTCAGTAATCCATCCGATCGAACCAAACATATTAAACGAACACATTTAAATAAAGTTCGAATTTTAGTTTTTCGAATAAATTAACAGCATAAAGAAATTTTATTTTCTTTCTTAGAAAGAATACATATGTCAAATTCAAGGTTGTGGTAAATCTTATACAGATCCAAGTTCATTAAGAAAACATGTTAAAAATATTCATGGAGAAGATGCATTTCGACAAAAGAAACATAAACGTACAGATAATAATAATGATAAACAATTTGATGAAACAAAGAAAAACATTTCGAATACAATATTAATTTCAAATGTCAGTTAAAGTTTTTGTTTTTATTTCAATCATCACTTTTGTTTTTGCATAGTTAAATTATCCAAGTGGATTAAACAATAATCAATCGAATACTCTTATTGAAAATAATAATAACGATGATGATGATGAAGATGTTATTGTTGATCAAGGAGTTTTATTAAATGTCGATGTAAATGAATTTTTTCTTTCTTCTTTTGTTTTTTGATTTTAATAATCAGAATTTTTTTGTTGCTTAGATACTGGGAGATAATTTGGGAGAATTATCAGTCAGCGCTACAACTGCTTTACCAGTTCATCGGGCACCAATGACAAATTCTTTAAAACAAATTGCAAAAAAAGCTGTTCTACCAGCTATACATATCACAGGAGTTTGTGAAACAGATGGAGATGAAACATCATCAAATAAAGGTGTGATTTAGTAGATGAATTCTCAATTAGCTTGAGATTAGACAAGCATAAAGATATGAATAGAATAATCAAGTGAGTTTTCATCATTAGTAAGCCTAGATCAAAGCCAAACTTAGACTAACAATCAAAGGTCGTGTATTGTAGGTTAAGGAGATTGACTATATTCGAGTTAAATGAATGTTGTTATTGTCAAATATGAACTGTTTGTAGCATGTACGAACCGATATACTCGCGAATTTTAACGTATTTACATTCTCTATGTCATGGGACGATACTTAAAAATTTCAGCAGGATTTAGTTTTTTGTTTCGTCATGATTGGATAGAGCTCGGTGAGTTACACATATTCAAAAGCAATTTTACGAAAAAGTTCAAAATATCATTATTGTTAAATATAAATGCAAGAGACAAGAAATTTTGATTGTTAGAAAATCGCGTTTGAATATATGCAATATAATTTGTTTTTTCTCGTCCAACTTATCGAGCTCTATTCAACTCCATGTTTATATGAGCGTTGTAAAAGATACGTTGTTACCATAATTGTATGTTACGATAGGAACAGTCTCTATACAAAATCTCTGCAGTAATAACATAAGGGCAAGAACTTTTTTTTAGGGTTTTCATAGGTCATTTGGGTCTACATAATACACAGTCTTGACTCAAAAGCGATTTCTCAATTGGAGTACTTCTTAATGTGAACAGTCATTACTTTAAATTAGTTAGTTTGGTAGGAAGAGCATTCATTTGACCTAGATATGATCAATCTCCTTAACTTACAGTACATAATCTTCCATTGTAAGTGTTTGAGTTTGGGAACTCAATTCTCATAGTGTCGAGTATTTCAATAATTGTACAAGTATTTTTTTAAGTCTATGAACAATCATAGAAGTATTGTTGGTTTCCTATCATTCTTCGGTTCTATGATTATTTATTTCACTATGTGTAAATCTACCATAGACAAATCATAAATCTTTTGTATTGACTTAGTTCTACTTTCTCCGTATTAATTAACTGAAAGTAATTGCAGCCAAAATCGAACTAGATCCATCCGTCCGGTTCAGTGCATGTCTAATCATCAAAACGAAAAAGGAATGTTTGTCTCAACATTGATCACTTGATTTTCAAAAAAAAGAACGAAAAGAAAAACTTTTATCTAATGATGTACTTAATAATTCATTGAAAATTTAAGATGATTTTCATAGAAATTATTCTAGGACAACAATATCAAGTTGCATTTCGTTCAGCTCATAATCATCGTATAAGTGCTCATTCTGGTAGTACTGCATATAGTAGTATGAGAAGTGATTCAATGAATGTTGATAGTGCTCTTTTTCTTCCAAGTAATCATTCAAGTATGGTATGTATTTTGTTTTTCTTTTTCCTTTGTATTTCTCTTTAAATATATTTCATTAAAAAAAAAAAAAAAAAAAAAGATTTCTTTGGCTCAACATCCAAGCGCATCACCATATGAATATGATTGTATATCAAATGATAATATCAAGTAGAAAAATTTCTTAATCAAACTAAATACTCAACAATTAATTTCTTTTTGTCTTCTGTTAGATATGAAACACGAAATAATAATGCTTTAACAATTCCATCTCTTCAAACTTCTCATGTTTGTATTTAATTTTTATTGAAAAATTATCAAAAATATGTTGTCATTTTTTTTGTTCTATCAGAGTCCTGTTCGACGTTCAAATGCAAGTTATGAACAACTTCTTACACCACCACGTGTAAATTCAACAACAAGTCATTTAAGTTCAATATTAACCAATGAATTATCACCGTCGAGTAGTTTATGTGTTAGTGCATTATCAGGTGATATTCAACAAACAGCAATATCAAATTCTAATCCTAAAATGACACATATACTTTATTTTCTTCAAACACTTGAATATAATCAACATTTAGATAATGAAGATATTTAAGTAACAAAACAGAACGAAAGAATTGTTGTTTTTTTTTCATCTTGAAAATAAAACATATAATGTTTCTTAATTGAAATCTATTTTTAAATAAAAGTTTCAAATCTAGCGACTAAGCTAGATCAATACAAAAAAAGAAGATACAAGATTCTATCAGCAAGTTTCAAATCACTACAAAAAAACCATATGTTTCTCTGATACATACAGCATATGAACTTGAATTACTTTTCAAAACTAGAACGTTTAGATCCACGGATTTGCATGAAGTTATATCAAAACTATTTCTGATAGAAAAATGGAAACTAAAAGAAATCCATTTTGAGTGTGTGTACGGTAGAATATGTTGGCTCCAAAGTTTTCGGATCTGGGGACAACCTGATGGGCTCTAGTGTGGGGTGGGTATTACCGTAAGGCTGCATGAAGATTCGCACTCGCACTCTCAAGAGTGTTTAATCTAAGCTTCCCATTTAAAGAAAAGTGACTAAATAAAACTACGCGCTTGCAATGTGTGCGACTTTCAAACATAAAAAAATAGTTGTTTTTATTTTATTCATTGAAACCTTGATCCTTCAAATAAACTTATTAGCCATTCTGTAGCCCGCAAAATGCTCTATCTTTCAACTATGTTCAAACGATTTTCACATCAATGCCCATAACTCAGGAAAAGAATTGGTTAAAATGACCTTTACTGCATATTATAAGAAGGAGCAATTGGACGTTTTGATAAAACGTCCTGATGTAATTTTGTACAGAATTGAAACTGGAACCTTTTGAGAGTAGGCACAAATTAATAAGACAAAAGCTGGTTGAGAAAAACATCAAATGTAATTTGTGGTATTATTAATGGATCATCTATCATGATGCTTTTTTTTCTTAATGTTAACTTAAAGAATATACAATTATCAATGTCATTGATGGCAGGATCAAATAGGATTTGTGCATATATGGGCCATTTCAGACAAAAGGAGACCAACCGACCTTTCATTTGATATTGATTCTTAACAAGAATTATTTTTTTTGAATAAGTTCTTTTAGCATAGAGATATGTGGCTTTTTCAATTGACTATTAATTAAAAATTAAATAACGAATATCTCTCTAACCATATGACTTAAGAAAACTTCCTATTAAACAATCGATTTTCTAGGGATCCTATGAAGTCCCGAAACAAAAACTTTTATCTTATCACTATCTAGAGATTCTAAAAAAAGATTTGTACCAGTTTCGAATTGGTTTTTAACTTGTCATTCGATTATCAGTTTCAATTCCAAGTGACAAAGATCGGTCAGTATCTCGAGATACACGTATTTCAATTTTGCGAAGGATGATTTTGCTCAAATATTAGTTCACATTTTACATTTGCTTAACATTAAAGAAAAACGAAAATGACAAATATTTGATAAACATTATCTTATGTTTCTTCTGCTCACTGCAGGGTGTTCTTTTTCTTACTGATTCAAAATTTTCTTTGTTATAAATGACGACAGAATAGACATAGAATCAAAAGAAATTCTCTTTTAAACATAAATCATAATCTCAAATAAAATAAAAATTCTTTCTTTTTTTTTTTTGTGTATATTTATAAATCATCACCTGCAGATCATGACCACTATTGCTTAAAGGCAATTCCTATCATCTTGACAGATATAATGATGATACAAGCAGGTGTATACAAATGTATATATATATATATATGTATATCGATTGTTTAACAAGCTATGTCAATTGCATTGTAACGATATATCCAATTAAAAGTTTTCAATTTATGACGTGAATAGTTATATGTAATCTGTTATGTAGGGAAAAAAATGAATAAGATAATTTTAATTGTCTAAATGATTTTAACATATGAATAAGATTATATCATGGATAGAAATCTTCATTGTCGTTTGTTTTTAAGATATTTTTTTTCTTTTATCTTATTCGATTAATGAGGTTTACATCACCTTTCAATCAAATCAAAGAGATGATGTTCATCGATCATCATCATTCAAATTCTATAATACATTCGTGACACCTTTTTCTTTTTCTGTTTTCTTCTCTTTCTCAATGGGTGGATATTCTTTGAACTTGCGAAACAAGTATGCATAGTTGAAAATTTCCGGATTTTACAATCAAAAATTAAGTACAACGTCTACTCAAGTAGAACATGTAATGACTCTTGAATAAATGAATTTCGACAAGAAAATGTATGCAGAAGTCGATTTAACATTTACGTAATTGAAATAAAAGAAAGGGAATATTTTCTACGGATGCATATCTGTAAATAAACAATATATAGAACTTCTTATTTTTTTCTATAATAATAATTATCATAACTTGTTGTAACGTCTCGAGATGAATTTGACTTAATTCTTTTTGTTTGTTCTTTTCATAGTCTTTGAAGCATAACATGCAAATAGTTGAACTATTAACAATGAAAATCACCTTTACAATTAGTAGGAATTATTTTAAACTTCCTGAGTAATATGTTCCAAAAAAAAAAATAAATATCTACTATTGTAATGTTTCTTGTTTTATTATTATTTTATCTAATGGATATTTTGCAAAAAAATATTTAAAAAATAAATAAAAGTAAATTATAGATTAATAATTACTCAATTTGGAAGTTTCTCAAACACACAAAATTTCATTTATTTTTTTTTTCAATCAGATCAGATGTGTCACCATACATTATTATGGCGTCAATATAAAGAAGTTTCTTGTTAAAACACTTCTAGATATTTTTTCAGTTTATCTCAAAAATATCAGTTGTACTACATTCGTTTCACTGATTTAATCGAAAAAATGATTTTTTCGAAGTTCATACGAAAACAAAAGTAAATCCTACGCCTGAGGAGAAGCTATTATCTCTATTAAAATTAAACTATCAAACTCTTCAATTCATTTAATCCTTCATCTTCTATTCATAGTTGTGAGAAAACTTTATCGAGTGTTAAATGATCATTCTTCGAATATGAACATGTGTGAATGACAAAAAAAACAATCCTACTATATTGTTATTATTTCTCAACTAAACAAGGTGATAAGATGGTCCTTTTATCCCTATACAATTCTCATAGTTATATCTTTTTCATTTTTCTCTATATGAAACAACAAGTAGCTTGTTCATATTTGATCAAAAGAAGAATAAAGAAGCCTAAAAAGCTTTATCATTAAATAAATAGATCAAAATAAGATCTAGTTCTTGGATATTAGCCAATATATCATTTATACAATTAATTAACAACGATATTTTTGATTTCAAGCCAACATGAAATGTTTACGTCATTTAAAAAAAAAAAAAAGAAAAAAAAATTATATACGAGGACGGAAAGAAAATGCTTCCCTATTGGTCTTCACTTGTTCGCATGGCAGGTTCATGCGAAAAAGAGAAAAAAAGAAAGCGACACAGAAAGAGAGAGAGAGAGAGAGAATTTGCACTAGACATTCACTCGAAACGAATAAATCTATAAATATATATATAATAGAGAGAAAAGTCGACGTGTATATACATATTCGTCATCATATTGTCTCGACATTGGTGCCTTGATATTCACTACCATGTATCAACTTCCATCTTGTTATTTACATGATATGATAGCATCAATTGTAAGTTAATAAATTTCACAAACAATTTATACAAAGAAATTATTTCTTATATTTATTAGAATTTCAATGTCTTATCATCACCAAATAAAATTTATTCAAAAGCTGTTGGTGGTCCTGTACTTCGAACGACAAATTCTCAACATATGACAACAATAACAACACATATTATTCAAACAACAACAGGAACAGATAATAATAATAATAAAACAACATTACAACGTTATAAAACTGAATTATGTCGTTCATATCATGAAACAGGTTTTTGCAAATATGGTGAAAAATGTCAATTTGCACATGGTTATCATGAAATACGTTCGTTAAATCGACATCCGAAATATAAAACAGTACTTTGTCGAACATATCATTGTACTGGATATTGTAAGTAAAATTTAACCAAAACAAAACAATTTCAATAATTTTATTTTTCATTGAAGGTCCTTATGGTCCACGTTGTCATTTTTTACATGATGAATGTTCATCAGATACTTTATCATGTAATACAATTTCACCATCATCATCATTTGGTAGTGATATTCGTTCATCAGTATCATCATCTCGATCAATTTCACCAATGGATTCACCAATAACAAATTCCGATGATATTTTTCTATCTTCATTTTTACTTCATAAGTAAACGAGAAAACAAAAGCGTTAGACATGAAATTTTTTTTTTGTTTTTTTGTCTCTATATTGAACTTATTTTTCTATTTATATATCACGTCTGTTGTATGTATAGTTCACATGTGATTTTGTCTCTTGTTATTAATTATTATTATTATTATTTTTTTTTGTTTGTTTGTTGATTTGCTTGGATATATAACCGTGTAACACACATACGCGTACACAACATACTCAGGGAGAGATGCGCATTGTATGTGCAAGAAAATTTTTTTGTTTTTTTCGTTGTTATACTTTAAACATACATTGCTGTGTTTGATGATTTGAAACTTGATTTATTTAAGAAAGATATTAAAAGAAAAATGATCGTATAGTTTTTTTTTTTATGATTATTGACTTGTATTCATATCATATATATATATATATTAAGTAAACTATCGATAGATTAAAAATATGTTTTTAAAATTTATGTCTAAGAAGAATAGGACTTTATCTTCGAATAAAGAAGTGAATTTCATTGTAAAAATCAAAACTTATGAATAATTGTTTTTCAAAATTATCATTCAAGCAGAAATAGAGTTTCTTAATATTTTGGATTCACCTGATTACTTGTTTCTATTGATTATATAATGTATGAATAATCTCTTTGAAATATGAACTTTGATATATCATTGCAGTTTTTTTTTTTTCCTTCGACTGATTTAGCTAAAAAGTTGTTAGAATACATAAAGTGTTAATTTCAGAACAAACAACATTAGTGTGTGACGAAAGAAAATAACAACGATATTCGTTTTTTGTAACGGAAATAGTTCATATCTTTGTTATTGATCACCTTTTATTTTTCTCTATAGATATTCAATCGATGATTGACTTTAGTATATAGCTATCGAATTTAGCCTAATATTCAACGTGACAATTGCATGTTATGTCAATGATGTATTCATTCATTTGAAGTGGAAACGAAAATGACTATTTTACATAAGAATGATGGATGAATGAACAGAAAAATGACATTCTTGTATACTAATTAAAGATTTGATTACACCTTGATATCAAACGAAAAGATAAAACTAAAACGAAAGAATAGAATTTGTTAGTTGTTGTTGTTCAAACGGTCGGAATATCACTTGTTAAAAGAAAAAAGATTAGAATGTTTTGAAATTTATATATATATATAGATCCAATTATATACAAACGTTATATAACTGTTGACACATTCATATTAGGTTAAGAAAAAGAAACAAAAAACGAACAAGCTTCCGTTTGTACGTTAAATCTCTAAATACAAAAACAAAATACTTCTGTATCTGATTGACAATGTTCAGTAGTCAATATATATATATATATACATATTGTTGCAAAATGAATTATTTTGTTGTCTTTTCTATCTATCAACATCTCGAATTTCCTAACAAAACAAGAATACACAAGAGAGAGGATATCTAATGTGTACGTATGTGTATTCAAAAGAGAAGTGTGTGAAGAAAACATCACATCTTTTTTGTTTTTTGAATTTGTCTGCTCTAGTTGTTGGATAAATGATGCTGTTAATAGGTAGAATGAGCTTTTTTCGCATCAATGAGAGTGTCATGCTGTGAACACGAAACATCGACTATACCCAGCAGTAAAGCAGATCAAATCGAAGATGTGCTTCCTGGTGTTGTTTTTATTCTGTTTCCGGCTTAAATTAAATGAACATTTTCTATATATATATATAATATGAAAAGAAAACGAGATTAGCTCTATGTATATACGCAATAAAAAAAGTTTACACAACCTTATAAACAAATGTTTTATGTTTGAAGAAGAAAATTTTTTTTTCGTTTTGTTTTATTTGACTTTTTTTTCACACTTATATTTTCGTTTAATTTCATATTAGACAACAAAAAATGATGATTATTTTTGAGATATTCATGAGTTAATTTATTCATCTTGATTGTTGGATAGAAGATTTTCATTACGTTCGAGAATTTTTTTGATTTGACGCATATATGAAGAAGATTTTAAACGAGCATAAAACTCATGAACAAAAATAATTTGTAATGGATTATGAATTGTTCCTCGTCGTGCTTTTCTTACATTTGAAATAGCATGACATACTCGACAATAATTTGTCAGTAAAAATGGATAATGACAAAAACGTTCTATAAATTTTTGAGTTTTTTCTTGTTCATCATTATTTTTCATAATATATTCATAGACAAGTTCTAAACATACGATTGTCATTCCAGTTCGTCCCATTCCACCCATACAATGTACAAGGATATGATTATGATTCAAATGATTTGCATTTATTATAATACTGTATATAAATTGTATATAATCACTTATGGATTTTGGTATAAAACGATCACGTATTGGATAAATAATATGTTGAATATTAGCTCGTTTTATATGCATTGAATATGTATCCATATTATAGATATTTTTATTTGTCATATTCATAAATGATAATTCTTTTGCTTCATTTAATGTTATTATTGTATGAACTTGAATTTGATTTAAATCATCTTCTATATTACGTATATCATGACGAATACGACGACCAGGTAATTTTGACATAAATAAGACTAATTCATCATTATTAGTTGATTTTAATACAAGTTTATCTATTTGAAGATGATCAGCATTTTTTAATATTTCATTATTTTGTTGTTCTATGGTCATCATATTACGATAACGATGTATGAATAATGCACCATATGAATATGATATAATAATTATAATAATTATTGTTAAAAATAAAATTGAAAAAAAACAATAATAAATAAAATTTAAATATATTATTGTTGATAATGAAAAAAATAAACTTGATACTATTGTTAATGTTATAGATGAAGACATTAAAATTAATAAACATATAAATGGAATATACGATAAACGAAAACGACGTTCAATCCATATAACAGAAAATAGAAATAGAAATACACAATTTAATGGTGGACATATTATCAAAAGTTGTAGAGCATTTTGTGAATGTTCATGTTCAATAAGAGTAAATGTTAAGATCATTAAAACAATTGAAAATATGAAATATATAAACGCAAATGTTAATGTTGGAGATCGAATAAGAAGCATGTTTTTTTTTTTATTGATCTAATGTAGCGAATAAATAATTTTTCTTTACACTTCAATTGAATGTATAATATTTCGATGATAAGATCTTGTAGGCTTTTGCTTCCTATTTAATCATTAATATTTCTACAAATATCGAAAACTCTTTAGTAGCCTAAAAGTTTTGACATGAAATATTTCTTTATTATTCTACCGATTTACAGATCTGGTAGAAATTTTAAAATCTCCAGTTACAATCACAACTTTGTGCTCTTCTCGAATCTATATTTGAAATCTTTCTTAGATTAAAATTGATTCGAAATATACCAAACGAAAGAACAAACATTACTCTATGTAAAAAGATATTGGGGTCATTAATGTCCTGAAAGATGTCTATCAATAATGAGACAGTAATATTTTGTTTAAGGTTTTACAGAAAACAATAACTCACGATATCAAAAGCTTTCAACAAAATACGTACGGTCATCTGTAAAGTTTCTCTTGCTTAAAATTCTTATTTTGTTCGTTTATTGGCTCGAACATTTTTGACATGAATAGCGAGTAAGTATACAAAGTAACACGCAAAAAAAGACAAAAATTCCTATTAAGGTTAAAAAGAACTATTTTCATTGAATAAAATGTTGTTGCTTTGTTTTCCTCTTTCATCAACAATTATATCATCATCAATTATCTTGTCTACTTCTAGTTCTATTTCTACTGAGAGTGGATATAGATATGGATATTAATTTCCCTTACATTCACTCTGTCTTTTTCTTCGTCTTTTTGATTTCCTTTTGTTCAGAGAAGTGACTATTACCAGTATGGCAAATTAATTATTTTCGAATAAAATATTGCACTAGATGGACAGACTATAGGTATTTATGTGCTGTACTAGTTCAAAATCGATAACTCATAGGTTGGCTTTTCTATGGCCCAACTTAGTTCGTTACGACCTCTGATATCTATCTGTATACTCCAAAAAAAAAAAAACAAGAATACTAACATATTGTGAGAGATATTATTTTAATCAATGTTGCATAGGATTGATATTTAAGAGCACTTGTTTGAATGTTAATATTCAGAGTTTTATTTAAATTTTAATTCTTGTTCTCACTATAAAGCTTGTAAAATCTAATTATAGAGCATACTAATATGAAAAAGATTATTTGTCTTGATAATAATATTAGCTTATTTTTACTGAGTAATTATCACTTATTGAAACACGACAACAACGGATACCCAGTCAGACAAAAATTTTGAAAAACGCGTTTAAACGCACAATCGGGAACCGCGATTGTAAGCCATTAACGCTCATTAAAAAAACGCTCGAAAACGCGTTTATTGGCGTTTTTTGTAACTTCATGGGCGTTAAAACGGCGACAATTCCCGTTTTTGAGCGTTAAAACGCACTATTATTCTAGAACTTAAAAATAATACGTTTTAACGCTCCAAAATTGGAGTTTTCGCCGTTTTAACGCCCATAAAGTTACAAAAAACGCCAACAAACGCGTTTTCGTGCGTTCTTCTAATGAGCGTTAATGGCTTACAATCGCGGTTCCCGATTGTGCGTTTAAACGCGTTTTTCAAAATTTTTGTTTGACTGGGTATTATTATATGGGTTACTCTAAAGCAATTTCTATTTTTCCTATTCTTTTTATTTTTTAATTTCCTATTTTCATATTTTATTTTAAGCAATAAATCTAAATACTTTTCTCTCATATAATTTATTGCTGTACACTTTGACCATATGTGTTTATACGATAACAGAACATAATAGTCGGATCATAATTGATTGCATTTTTTATCTCAAAATATTTCTATCTAATGTAATTTATACTTAATTAAGGACAAGAAAAATGGATATGAAGAAAATAGTTTATATTTACCAACCTACTGCGAAGAGATGCTTCTCATTTTTACGTGTTGAGTAAAAAATGCATCTGGCAAACGAAACATAGATGATTCATTCATAGTTATGTTGACGTGTCGCGTCATTCTTTTTCTACGTTGTTTTTATTTGGAAGAACATGCGACAAAAAAGAGAGAGATATCATCTTAACACAGATTATTGTTAAGGAACTGAACAAACATTGATGTAACATTTGTATTATCTTTAGATGGTGGATGAGTTTTAATAAATTTAAGATATTGTTGACGAATTCGACGTAAATCAGATACTGAATGATTTAGATTCCAATTAATCTAGAAAAATTCATTTGTTGTACTTTTTTTTCTTTTGAAAATAGATAAGATTAATTACTTTTTCTGTTGTACCAGGAATTGAAAATTGTTGACCAAGTACAGCCATTTTACTTTGTTGTACAATTGACTTAAAAGAAAGAAAAAAAAATCCACAAGAATAACTCTTTAAATTCTGTGGTTTCTATTTCTCTTCATACATCAATAACATCTTGAGTGACACGATCAACATCATGTAAAAAATTTGTATCCGATATTGGTAACTATAAAACTTTCATATATATCTTGATAATATAAGTTAAGATTTTTACATACATTTACTGTTGATTTATTGGGTGGTGGTGGTCGTTTATTAGCTAAATAATCGGCTATTTGCTCTAATGGTAATTCATCATTTGGTGTTAATTCAAAAAGTGGTGCATCCCAACGATTTCGACCTTCAGGTGGTTCATAACGTTGTACTAATGCATCAAAACTAATTTTTGAATATATAATATAATTCAAAGAAAGTCTTATTTTTTCTTAAACTCACATTGTTTCATCATATCTATGATTTGCCGCATTCCATTCACGAGCGAGATGAATAGGTGTATTACAATAAATCTTTTTGTTTCAAAAGAATATTGAAATCATACTAAAAATTTTTAACTTACTGTGCATTGAACAGTTTGATAAAGTTTTGTAATACAATACAGTTCATAGCGATAACCTAGAATTATTCACATGAAGATATCTTATCGTTAGTATAGATAGATCAACTCGATAATTTTAACGTAGTAATGCGCAGTGTTGGTGTAAATACTGATTGTAAGTCACTAATAGAGCCCGCTTAGATTTTAAATTTCCGGGCCTGAAACCAACCTGACGGACTCATCATTACATATTAAATATTTAAACTAATTAATTTTTGACATTTTTTACTATTACCTTTTATATAATTCAATGCATCAAGTATAATCAAATCAGTTTTTGTTACTAATCTAAAAGCAAAAAACAAATGGCATGCATATTTGTAACATTATCATATTATTTATAACCTTTGTGTTTCAGCTTTAAGATCACTTCGAGCTTGTTTTTCAAGTGTATTGTCTAGAAAATAGAAAAAAGACAAGATTCAACAATTGATATTAATTAAAAGTCAATTGATAAAAACCTATATAAACTGCATTTCTATCCAGATTATTATCTGTAATAATTTGAACAGGCATTGATTTTGTTTTAAAATAATCGTGTAATGCTTGTGCTCGTGTTGATTTGCCCGAACACGGACCACCAGTTATAACAATTAGCGGCATCGATTGTTTTATTTATATATATATATATATACAATAACTATAAGAATTTTGATAATATGATAGAATTATTCTAATACGAAGAGAAAACACAAACTAATTCTAAGTTCAACATTTATTTTATATCTTTACTTAACACATACATACGAACAAGAAAATAGATAACTGAACATCTTTTAAAAAACGTTTTTCTTTTACTTTTTTTTTAGTAGCAAACAAAAAGACTAATAGTGGATTATAGATGTAATAATAAAAGAAGAAAGAAAAATACACTTTGAATATCAGACCAAATATCGAAAAATATCTTGCATTTGAGATTTAATCATATGATGGTTGTACAAGCATAAAATTATCAGCATAGCGTGTCAAGATTTTCAAATTTTCTTGTTCTTCTTCATCAACACGTTCATTATTAACAAATTGTTGACGATGATGTGCATCATACATGTATTCAAAAAATAATTCATCACCTTGAAGTATAACTTCTTTTGCATATATACCAATACGATAGTCACCTTAAGAATATAAAAAAGAAGAAAGAAAAGAATTCTATCTAATCTTTAGAGAGAATAATATTTACCATTGACTAATTTAATTTTTGGAACACAATTTGATTTTGATGAATGATTAGCAAAACTAAAAAGACGAATCCTTTACGTATTAAAAACAAAAATACTGTATTCATCTTTAAGATCCACGTTCGAGTTCAAATTTTACTGAAACAAAGTTCTCAATGAAATAAATGAAAGTTTTCGTTCGGTAAAATGATTCTAAGTCAAAAGGAAAGACTTCTTTCATGACTAATAATCTCATTGAGATCTAGTTGTGATGAAATTCTAACCGAAGTTTATTGCCAAATTGTCGAGCATCAATACAGTGTTGCATATCCAGATTAAATAAATAAGAGCATGCTCGTTTATCATAAAGACGGCCTCGTCGATCGGCTTCTTCTTCAGAAATGATTTCGCCAGTGTATTCTGAAATTAAATCCCCAGGATATGCAATTGGTGAACCAAGAAAAGCTCCATAACCAGCAACTGAGCAAAAAAAAACAATGCACATATTTTTAATACAATTATAGTACTGATCAAAAATATAAGGTCAATGCATTTTTTTTTGACTCTTTTTTTTCCTACAATATCAAACGTTTGATTCAGATCCAAATTGTGATTTGAATAGTCAATGAAATTTTCTATCAAATACTTTGAATTGTAAGTTAAACGTTTGATATCGTAGAAAAATAAAAATATGTTGATCTTATATTTTTGATTAGTACTGTAAAAATTCAATAAAATTACTATCAGATTCAGCAACAAGAATTTGTTTATGAATTTTTCGTTGTAATGCAATATTTGCACATGTTATCATAGGCGAAGTTTGTGATGTATTTAAATTTAATGATGTTCTTGAATTTGTACGTCTTCGGTGATTACATGTCAGTTTATATGATGGTTCATTAATACGGCATGATCGAAGACTATGTGATCGTGCTGGTACATTACTAGTTGTTCGTGATCGAGCATTTCGTACAGATGTTGTTGATAAATTTTTTTCATCTTCTCTTGTTATTGGTATTTCAATTTCTCTGAAAATCACGGAAAACCATTTAATCTTATCTATGAGGGTGAGCCAAAAAGAGAAAACGATTAAATGCTGAAGCTCCACTGGAAAAAACCGACGCATGATCTACTCGATCCATAGTGGACAGCCAAGTGACAAAATCGATTTTTCAGATTTGAGCCTGAGTTGTAGCTGGCATTAAAGCTGCTGCGAATTTGCATTTAACGGCATTTTGGATATGGATTGTAGGCGAGTAGCTGTCTTGCAGCAGCTACTACAAAGTAGATAAACCTGGTGAATATTACTAATAAGATTTTATAAGTAAAATTTATCTTTCAAATTCATGTTCTAATTATATTCACTAGTTTAACTCGAAAATTGACTTGAAACTTTGCAGTTCTATCGTAAGATACAAATATTGAAAATTCTGCTATGTGATAAAAGCGAATTCTTTTTCTGTACATCAATGATAATCAAATAGAAAATTATCATGTATTTCAAAATTTTTGCAAGAACAAAATAGCATTAACATTTATGTTACTAGTGAACTAGTAAAAAGCCATTGAAATAAATAAAACTTACGATTTAACTGAAGGATTAAATTGATTAAAAAATAATGATGCTCCACAATTATGACATAAATCTGAATCACATTCTCGACCTTCTGCACTACATAAACAATTATTAAATAAACATGTTCCTTTACAAGCACAGCCCGGAAATCGACGTGGACAATCAATAGAACAATTACAAAATTTTTCACAGAATGTTCCCATTTTTATACAACAACATTGGGGATTTTCTGAAGTACATGGTCCATCATGTAAACATGGTTGATATGATGGTTTTAATGTTGTTGCTGTTGTATTTTTTCCATTATTATTATTATTACTATTTGTTCGATTAAGATTTTTTTTTACATAATTAAGAAATGCTCGTGTTGTACCTTCAGGCATACGTCTTCGATATGGTTGACGTATTAAAAATGATAAACCTTTTGTTAATGATATACGTTCGGAAAAATATTTTGAATCATTGATAAGTTGTTGATATAAATCATAACATGTTCGATTATTCTCAAATAATTCATTTAATAAACATAAATCACCATCAAAAGCAAAATAAAATAAACGAAATAAATTTCTATCATTTAATGTCCAATTATTTTCTAATGAATATTGTTGAATTGATTGGCATATGAAATTATTTTCAATTCTTGTTAAACATTGTAATGAATGTTTTCGTTGTGCATCATTTAATTGAATATTTATATTTTCATTCGTATTTAAAAGAGTTTTATATGATGATGATGATGATGATGATGATAACTTACGTTGACGTTTTTTATGATTTTCTATTTCATCAGATGTTTCATTCGTATATGATGATGGTGATAATGATCGTTTATGATGATGATCACGTTGATATTTATAACATGTAGAACTACATGGTTCGGATTGATTAATATGTGGGATAGAAAATTGTTTTGGTAATGGTAAATGTAATGGACCTTCTTTATGTAATAAACAACTATGAGAAAAAACAAAACAAAGATAATCTTGTAATTAAGAAATTAAAAGGTATTGATATCATATTAGGGACAGAGACACTAATTAGATATCATCGAACCTAAACAATGAGGTTCAGACTAGATCAAAATTTGTGAGTTTTAAGAGAACATCTTACTTATAACTATAACAACGTGGACAAAATCGAGTACACCAACGTTTTATAATAAGTTCATCCATATCATCATCTTCTGAATCACATTTCTTAATATTTTTATCATGCTGCTGTTTATCGTGTAAGGAACAATCATTTTGATTTGCTAATGCCACAAGTCTTGCTTGTGGTGTTGAATCACGATGATAATCTATTAAAAAAAATAGATCCAATAAATTCTATTTAGTTTTTTCTTTTAGGTTTCTTACGAAGTATTGCATCGATTATTTGTTCACTTGAATATGCATTCCATAATTTATTCGATCGAAGCGTTTGAAATAAATTTTCTAATGATTGCTCATCAAGTCTTTTTTCTAATAAAACAAAAATAATATAAATCAATATGAAATAAAGAAAACAAAACAAAATTATACTTCGTATTAATTTTTGTTGTTTAGATGGTTCAATAGATATTGAATTAATTAAACGTTGATCTTCAGCATCAAATTTATCTCCTAAATATGGTATACCAATAAGATGACCACGTGTAGCAACATTTTTTGCTGTCGGTACATATGATATTAATTCTCGTACAATAGGAAGTGTTGGCATAACAGTTGGAATTGTTGCATTTTTTTCTGAATTTTTATTTGTGCCATCAGTGACAATAACTGAAACAATTTTATTATCATCATCTATATCTGTATTTGTTTCAATTGCAGATGTAGGAATAGGTATAGTTATTGGGCGTGGTGGACATGATTGTGCTGCATGTCGAAGAACTTGACTAAAAAAGACAGTAAGAGAATATAATAATATTCAAATCAGAGGTCGAAGCAACAAGATGTCTTTCTTTTGAAGACTCATATACACACTCTTCATATGTCCTCGATATGCATATTTATATTAAGAAACTTCAGCATAGCGCCAAAGTGAAAGAATGGAATCCATTTTTTCGAAAAAGTCATATCCATGACGGTTAGAATAAAGAAAAAATGTGAATAATTTTAATTAATTTTTATTGAGAATAAAAACTAACCGAGCTGTTTTTTGTGCGCCTTTGTGTACTCGACGATACAGTGTTGTATATTCATGTTCAACAGCTTGTCGAAGAGCATCATCTTTCTTTGAATGAAACAAAAATTTATAAGTAAAGAAATTTGTAAGAAATAAAATAAAATTCTTATTACGTCAGTTGATGCTTGTTGTTGAGATAGATCGTTACTTCGTCTTGATTCACGCATATAGTCTTACAACGATCTAAAATATATAAACATCAAACAATTTCTTTGCTATCACATCGAAAAAAAAAAAAATTCCCCATTCAGATATTAAATCAACCAATCAGAAAACAATATAAATACATTGGCTTATGTGTGAATCAATTGAATACAAATATTATTCCAATTGGTAGATATTGGATCAACTTACAGCATGATGAAGAAAAAGTTTCGTAGGTACGTAACTTTAGTCGCCGAAGGCGAAGGAAAATTTTGTCATATTCCAGCTAATGTGGCTCGCAATTTTCGTACGGGCGAAAAATATTAGTATTTGTACGATAAATGTAATGCATTGCTCGAATTTATCAATTTGATAGAGGAAGTAAAATATTTGAGTCTACCCTAACCAACAAAGTGTAAATCTAGAGTAGACTTTTACTTTGCAAAGCTTTGTGTTTCTGCTGTCTATGCTTATGGAACACGACTTGTAACAGCACGTCATTTATCTGAAGAAAATGAAAATTAAACAGTAACAGAAAATTTCTACAATAATTCGAGTTCATCTAGGGTTTTTATTTACCCAATACAAGATGGATTCAAGTCTATCCAGACCTCGTCATTTTGTCGTGTATGATGAGGATGAATACTCAATCAGAATTTATTTTTAAATAAAAGAAACTTATTTCGTAGTTTTTCACCTGATAAAAAATGAAATTCACCTGTGACAAAAATATAAATTTAAATAAAAAAATCAAGATGAATCGATTTCAATTTTGTTTGATTCTTACTTGCAATTGTTGTCTTTTATCGATATTGTGTCGAACATACAATTGTTCATGAGGTTTGATTAAAATGTTTCAAGAATTATTTTTATAATGAAAGAAGCACAATTTATAAAAAAAAGGATATAGGGATAGAGCAAGGATTTATATTTTTCATAGACTTGAAATCATGACATTGATGTTACTGATTAAAAAGAAAACTCCGTTTTCCTTCAATCTCTGAAAATTAGCAGATCACTCATCAAGAAACATTTTTCGTGATGAACTACAAAAAAAAACACTCAATTTCAACTAGTAAAAACATCCATTTACTAAAAATATTTCGTTTTCCATATATTTTCCATAGTCAGAATTTAAGAAATTCTATCCAATTTATTGGAGTCAAGTTGCATGTGTAACGTAAAATGACTATCCGTCAACTTTAGTGCTAGCTAAAAGGCTGCAACAATTGAGAAATATAAAGAAGAAATGTGGTCTTTCCATCAAATGAGAATAAGGGCGATGCATGAATCGCTTTCAGTTAGACAGCAAGATATATTATTAAAAGCTGCTTGGTTTGACAGAAATCTGATGTTATATGAATAGAAGGCTGTTGCCTTTATCCTCACACTCTGATTTTGTTGATGATATGTGTGTGCGTGCTATTGTAATTCAGGAGAAAAATGACATCCAACCAGTCACGCTCACACCAACTTAAAATCTATCCTCAGATTAGCTACTCAAGATTGCCAGACAATGTTCTAAAAATCAACAGAAAGGGTCATTTATTTTACTCCTGATTGCGGCATCGAACGAGTCATGCTCATAAAGAAATCCGACGTTAAACAATGAACTGCTAGCATTGCTCATATTTGATATCAAAGCTCTGTTGCTTCGTTTACTTACGGAAAAGAAATTTCGAGATGTAAATGTCATGCGTTCGTGTATACAAATATTAAAGTATATCTTCTCATCGTAATAAGACGAAATGCAAAGACAAGTAAAAAAGAGAAAGAATATTAAAAGTACAAAATAAATGTGATGAAGAGCGAATATATGAAAAATAACTAAGCCTGATGAAAATGTCATGCTTCCTTGATTCATGTAAACATATGTAAATGGGAAACGACAAGTTATTTTCTCAACGATAAATACGAATCAAAATCGATTGAAAACACACAAAACAAAACTCGTACACACCAGTATTACTTATTAAGTGAGTATTTTTGATTTCTTACATTNATGGAGTAAGATCGGTCGTGGTTTATATGGATTAGCTCATATATGGAACAAAATCTCACTATAAAAAAATTGTACATGTACCTCGTGTTGTCCACGGGTGCTCACTATTCATTGGACAAGTTCGTAATTTTTTTTTTGCTGGATGCTTTTCAGACTGTCTTCGGGTGAATTAGAAGACGAAAATGAAAATCCAAGACCACTTCCATTAAAGTGGTATAAACTCCATGGAATCACCCTAATAGCAATTTTAGGTTTAGGAAGTATCTCGAAAACGATTTTAAGAATTATTTATTCAATAAATAATAAATATTATCGTTGGTATTTTATATTGAGATTAACATGAAAGCAGTCATACTTATGAAGTAAAATCTCGAGGTGATAAAAAGCTTCTCAAGATAGTTTGTGTTCATGAGATAGGCCGTGAAAAAAACTAACTTTCGAATTTTGACCGAAAACTTGGCATACTAATAGCGTATGGTCATATTAAGACGATAGCAAAGTTTCAGATCATACAAAATTTTCTTCCTTGAGACAACAAGTTTCCAGAAAAACGAGACTTCCGACTGAATGTTGAAAAAGTGGTTTCTGAAGGGACAAGCTCTTGTGTGATCTGAAACTTTGACATCGTTTTACTATAATCATAGGCTATTAGTATGTCAAGTTTCTGGTCAGAATTTGAAAGTCAGTTTTTTTGGTGGAACTGAGTCCTCATGAGAGAAAAGGTAGTAAAAACTAAAGTTTTTTCACGTAGATACATTATGGACCACCACTATAAGATGCGCTATTTCTAACTCTCCACGGGCTACCTTATGGACATATGCCACTTTCAAAAGCTTTGTATCACCCCGAGCGGTTTCCTCATTAGTACAGTCTGTACTACAACTATCAATGCAACTCACGACGTGTGATGACTTCAGAAAGAAAGTATCTGTAGATTTTTGGTCTTCGATAGTTCATGACAGTGGTTTTAAGAACGTGTTACATATGGATAGGGTAGCTACAGAGAAAATAATTGAATCTCCATTAGCAGATCCTAGCCTTTCTATCTAGGGAACAACAGAGAGAAGTTTATTGATCATATTCTCATTGAGTTGGGGTAATTTAGAACGAAAGTGTAACCTTCACTTTACACCAACAACTAGAAACCCGATTGAATACAATTATCGTCCACGATCTGTTGCAATCGGCGATTTTAACAACGACTCTCGATTAGATATGACTGTTGCTAATTATGCTGCTAACAGTATAGATATATTTCTTGGCAATGGTACTAGTAGTTTTACAAGACAAATGACATATTCAACTGGTCCCAATTCAGCCCCGTACATGATTGCAGTTAGTGATCTCAATAATGACTATCGACTTGATATTGTCGTCGCAAATTTCGGTGCTAACAACATCGGAGTCTTTCTAGGATATGGTAACGGGTCTTTTGCTAATCAAATAACAGTTTCAACTGGCTCATCTCGGCCACTTTGGGTCACTATAGCTGATTTTAATAACGATACAATACGTGATCTTGTCATTGCCAACTATGGCACTCACAGTCTCAGTGTACTCTATGGATACGGGTTTGGACGTTTCTCGAGTCCAATTACTTATTCGACCGGCTACGATTCTCTTCCCGTTGCTATAGCCACTGGTGATTTTAACAAAGATGATTATCTAGATCTTGCCGTTGCGCTCCATGGTACAAGCAGTATAGATATACTATTTGGAAGCAAGAATGGTTCGTTTGTTAAACATAGAACCACTTCAATTGCTTCTAATTCTCATCCAATATCCATCGCTGTTGGTCATTTCGACAACAACGACGGACTCGATATAGTTGTTGCTAATCAGGGTACTAACAATGTGTGTATACTCTTAGGCTATGGAAACGGAACTTTTTTTATCCAAAATAACCCTTCAATTGGTTCTTCTACACCATATTCTATTGCTACAGCTGATTTCAACGAAGACCAAATGTTGGATTTGGTCATTACCAGTGATGGCATAAACAATATACTTGTGTTGCTTGGCAATGGTAATGGAACGTTTGGACATAGGGCCATATATCCAACTGGATCTTCCTCTTCAACCTCAGTTGCTGTTGGTGATTTCAACAATGATAATCTACAGGACATTGTTGTCACCAATAATGATACTAATAACATACAGATTCTCTTTGGTTATAAAGAGCGAACTTTTGGAGAAAAAATAATGTATCCCACTGGTATTGCCCCATCCTCTACAGCTGTTGGTGATTTCAACAACGATACACTATTAGACATAGTAGTTGCTAACAAGAATGATAGTAATATAAGCGTGCTGCTTGGATATGGCAACGGGTCTTTTCAATATCGAGCGACATATGCAACTGGTACTGCTCCATCCACTGTAGCTGTCGCTGATTTCAACAACGACAGTATACTAGACATCGTCGTCTCAAATTATGGTAGTAACACTTTAGGCATTTTTCTTGGATATGGCAATGGTTATTTTCAAAGTCAAACGACGTATCGAACTCAATTTGCTCCATCATCCATGGCCGTTGGTGATTTCAATAACGACAACATATCAGACATCGTGGTTGCTTATTATGACAACAACAGTCTGGGCGTTCTTCTTGGATTTGGTGATGGATCTTTTGCAACTCCAATGATTTATCAAGTTGGAATTTCTCCATCTTCTTTAGCTCTCGGTGATTTGAACAAGGACACTATACTGGATATCATCGTTACCAATTATGGCTCTAGCGATGTAGGTGTACTTCTTGGATATGGAAATGGATCCTTCGCAGATCAAACATCTCATTACATTCATGGTAATCTAAACGCTGTAGCGGTCGGTGATTTCAACAACGATACTTGTCTAGATATCGTTGTCATTATTGAGGAAGAGAGCAACATATGTATTCTTCTTGGGTATGGCAATGGTTACTTTGCAACTGAAAAGACGTATTTGGCTGGTTATCAACCATCTTATGTAGCTGTTAGTGATTTTAACAATGATACACGACTAGATATTGTAGTCACCAATTCTTATAACAATCATGTAGGTGTATTCATCGGATATGGTGATGGCCGTTTTGAAAATCAGGTGACGCATCCGACTAGTACTACTCCATCACATGTAGCTGTTGGAGATTTCAATAACGACGCCATAGTGGACCTTGTCGTCACTAATTATGGTAACAACAATGTCAATGTACTGCTCGGATATGATAGAAAAACTCTTGAAGATGAAATAACATTTACCTCTTCTGGAGGTTCTCGCCTACAAAGTTTAGCTATTGGGGATTTCAACAATGACAGTCAACCAGACATTGTCGTTGCAAATTATGGTACTGGAAATATCGGGTTTCTATTTGGAAACGGCAATGGTACTTTTGAAAGGCAGATGATGTTTACGAATGGCTTCGATTCTCATCCGGTTTTTATTACTACGGCTGATTTCAACAGAGACTCTCAATTGGATATCGCTGTGGTTAATTCTGCCACTAAAACTATAGGCATATTTGTCGGAAATGGCGACGGAGCATTTACAACTCAAACCAGTTACAGGATTGATTCTAATGTTGTTCCGTCTGTTATTGCGGTTGGTGATTTCGATAATAATGGACGCTCAGACATAGCTGTTGCCTATGATAACATCGATGATTTTGACATACATCTTCAGTATGATCCTGGATCTTTGTCGAATCAAACCATCTATTACTCTAACGGTCATTCGAAGTTTGTAACTCTCGGTGACTTTAACAACGACAGTCGACTGGATATTGTCGCCATTAATGAGAATGATGCAAATGTATATGTGCTATTTGGACACGACAATGGTTCTTTTTCAAATCCAATAGCGTATCCAACTGGCTCTGCTCTATCTTCTGCAGCTGTGGATGATTTCAATCATGACAATCGACAAGATATAGTCGTCGCTAATGAAGGTGATAACACTGTAACCGTACTTCTTGGATATGGCAACAGTTCTTTTGAAACTGCAACCGTGTATTCCACTGGTTATCAACCGTCAGCTATAGCTGTCGGCGATTTTAACAACGACAGCCATCAGGATATAGTTATTGCAAATTATGCCAGTAACAACGTGAGTGTTCTTTTAGGGTATGGAAATGGAGCCTTTACAAATCAAAGAACGTACTCAACAGGCGTTAATCCTCGGTTTGTAGCTGTTGGTGATTTCAATAACGACAATCGAATAGACATTGTCGTCGCTAATTCTGGTAGTAACAATGTAGGAATACTTCTTGGATATGGCGACGGTTCTTTTTCGACACAAACTACATATTTCACTGGCATTGCTCCAACTTCGATAGCTGTCGCTGATCTCAATAGCGACAGCATTCTAGATATCGTTGTCGCCAATAAACTTTCTGACAATATATGTATATTACTCGGATCTAGAAATGGCTCATTCACATATCAAAGAGCTTATCATACTGGTGTTGCTCCATCATCTGTAGCTGTTGGTGATTTCAACAACGACTTTCAACTAGATATTATCGTCGCCAATATTGGTACTAACAATGTTGGTGTACTTCTTGGACATGGTAATGGCTCATTTACGATTGAAGCGACATATCAAACTGGTATTGCGCCATTCTCTCTTGCCGTGGGTGATTTTAATCATGATTCCCGACTTGACGTCACCGTTGCTAATGAGGACAGTGGTAATATAGGTGTACTGCTCGGATATGTCAATTTTACTTTTCGAAATCATGCTGTTCTTAGAACTGGCAACGGTTCTCGGCCATGGTCGTTTGCTGTATGCGATTTGAACAATGATCATCAAATGGATATCATTGTGGTCAACAGTGACACTAATAATATAGGGATTTTTCTTGGGTATGGCAACGGCTCTTTTTCTAATCAATTAGTATTTTCATCCGGGTCTTATTCTTCTCCAAAATCTGTAGCAATTGGCGATTTAAATCATGACAACAAACTAGATATGGTGGTCGCTAACTCTGGAAGTAACAATGTAGGTGTATTTTTGGGCTTTGGTAATGGATCTTTTGCAAGTCAAATCACATATTCAACTGGATCTTATTCTTCTCCAAGACAGGTTGCTGTTGGTGATTTTAATAATGACCTATTACTAGACATTGCTGTCGTCAATTATGGTAGAAATAATATAGGCATACTTCTTGGACATGGTGATGGCTCATTTTCAGAACAAATCGTGCTTTCAAGCGGTTATGCATCTCTTCCGTTCTCGTTTGGGGTCGCCGATTTCAACCAAGATGGAAAGCTGGAGTTTGTTGTGGCTCTCAATGGTAGTGACAGTTTAAAAGTCTTTTTACAGACTTGCTGATGTGCACAACTGCTCTCTGAAATATTCCATTTGTATTATATTTATTTTCAACATTCAGTTTTCGATTTCCATACATTTTTTTAATTCTCTTTCTTTTTTATGGGTTATTTTGTTTTATTACGTTTTCACCATCAACAAAGAAAGAGGAACGAACTTCGAATCCGTTTGATGGGATGCAGAGAAACGGAAGACAATCTTAGGAAAAAAAAATCCAACTGGAGTATCACTACTAAAGTCTTCGCTAAGATGATGTATCGGTTCGGTTCAGTATGTTTTCATACAGATCCAATACAAACCGGTAAATTATTGATATAGCTATGAACATTTGTTTGTGTTCTCCTCGCATCTTAATCATAAATATTGCCTAATTCAGATGAAAACAAAATATTTAAGTATCAATAGAGGTTGGAATCACTGTAGAATGTCAGAAAGTCTTGTTACTGTGGCGTTGCACATATTCTCGTATTATATTAGCAGGTAACCTTTTTTTTTGTTGTTCTGTGTATGTGGTTGTCAGTTTCTGATGAATGTTGACTTTTATCTTGCTTGCTCTCACACCCATACGAACGTGTAACTAAAGTCATCCCGATACTCAACACCCTTCCAGTGACATGTCTATGAAGAATATGCTGCTCTGTTTTCACAGTTTCGATTTGCTTCTTACTCAATTGTGATCAGATTTAAAAATCGAAGTGAAAAAACTTAATGAATTTGAACCCATCGCATTTTTCTTTGAATTCATCTCAGAGATAGTTCGAACCTGGAAAGGATATTATTTCGAGCGTGGGTCTTCCCTATAGTCAAGCGGTCTTTAATTGTTGCTGGAAACTGTACAATTGACAAACGCATAGAAAGAAAAACGAATCAAATAAAGTCTCTCTTTGATTTCTTATCTTCATTTTTATGAGAATGATCTACTCAGTATATAGCATCATCCAAATGTGTTCTTTGTTCTAACATGATCATGCTATTTTTTCACTAGAGAAATTTAGACTTCAGCAGATATTATCAGGAAGTATGAAATAATGTGGAGAAAATATTTTTACATCTCTTCGGTTCAACGATTAAGTATACTTTGAGTTCGAATGTCAACTGTATAATTTAATGCTTCATATTTCTGTCCTTGCTTTCAATGAAAACATATACATCGTTTTGAATAGGTTCGAATTAGAATTTTCATCATCTTTTTTTTGTTATCTTCATAACCTTGCCAATTTCAGCAATTTTAGTCACCAAAATATCTCTACCAGTGACCTTTCTTTCGTCCTCTATCATTGCAATATAGATTAGTCACGAATTCCAGTAAATCTAATGAAATTTCTGAAACAGTGTAGTAAATTTATATACGGGCTTTCTCCACTTAAAAATTAGTAGAAATAATTTGAAAACAAAAAAAGAATCGTGCACATGCGCATGCATTTACATTGTGACTGTATGTACACGTTCATTGATTTTGATAGAAAATGAACGATAAAAAGCATAGTCACGATGACTATGAGAATGACAAAAATGAAACACTTACTATTGCTACAAGTGTATATCTAACACATACAAAAGAAGTAATATCATTAAATTACATTGAATTGAAGTTTTCTGTGACAGAAATACATTGACATCTCTGATTCGAAAGATATGCATCGAAGTCCAATAGTTTCGAAGCAAAACTCTTCATCATCATTATCTTTTTGCCCGCGTGTCTTAGACGAATTGTAATAATTATTTCATATGTCACCTGAAAGTTTTCTCTTTTGTGTAGCTTTTTTGTTGCATTAGCACATGTATAATTCGATTTTCCTTTTCCTCTTCTGCTGTGCATATGCCTATTCCTCTCACAATAGTAGATATTCATTTTACTTTCAATCCATTCTCATCTCTCGTCAGTTTTTATAGTGTTTATGAGCTTATTTACCTTCTATTTTCGTCCTAATTTCTTCTCGTTTTGTATCAATTCATTATCGTCATTTTCAGATGTCTCTTATTCGTTCTTTTCACAAGTATTTGTTCTATCTTTGATGAAAAAAAATTTGGAATTCAATATATCTTCATTGAATGCAAACATGTGCCATCATGATACATTCTTCGGCCTATTTCTCCTAATAGTATCTATGTGAACCGATGAACGTCTTCCGACAATATCTTCTCCATCTGTATTGTATATTTGATTGGGACAAGATAGCTCCACACCAAATGCTTCTGATTTCATTGCTATAATCAACTTTGATGAAATATCTACTACATATGGACATATTTTGAAAACAGTTTCGTTTATTTCAGATCCTGCCAACAGCATTGAACCAGTAGGAAATGAACTACATTATTGAAGTATTTCTGCCAACAGTTGCTATTATATTACTGGTGGTCTTTTCAGTTTTCTTTTTGGAAATCAAGAGATATTTGTCTGGCGTATTCCCAGAAAGCCAAGAAAAAGTCCAAAATTTCTATATGCACTTGATGTGTCAGGTGCCTGTACAGGCGAGTTTTTGTCGATCCATGGTCCTGAATTTCTTTTGAGTATGATGTATAATGAACAGGCTGTCAACCCAGGCAATATAGTACATGTCAATGCTGAAACTGGTAAAACAAAATCAATCCTCAAAAGTATTTCAACTTTCATCGATTTTAATCCATATGGATTTGGTCGACTAGACAATGGTTCGATCTTCACAGCAGACTATATTGAACCTATTACATTAGTCGGCAGTGATCTATCACAGATAATATTTAGAAATAGAGCTCGGGAGCATCAAGTGGAGTTGGACAGGGAATCGTATTCATGAAACTCAAAGCTATTCCTCGTGATACATTTGGACGTTCTCTAGCTTGTGGTATTAGTGTGAACAATATTAACATTTAATTAGACCAGGCATACCAGAACCATTTTTAGCCATTAATATCTCTCAAGTAAATGGATATAGAAAACGAATCAATGCTGGTATTGCGCCCATCTTTCTGAATGGTCAACGTTTATTGATGATATTTCAAAATACAATTCGTTATTTTACTCAATATTACAAAACCAGAACAACCGAACATTCTTCGTGTATTCGATTTTTGTCCTGATCAGACACTCAAAAATGGGGCAATTCGTGCTTCTGGTTCATTCGAAAAGATCACTTTTGCCGAATTCTGTATTCGAAATAATAATATGAGTGATTCACATGTTATTGTGCATTCGAAAGATTAGAATCGATTCATTGTGGTGAACTTTTTCCTCGAATTCGGCTTGACTCAATTTCTCGGCACACGAACAGTACATGGATTCAAACTAAATAAGGATTTCACCGATTTTGAAACGACCATAAATTTAATCCTAATTTTCAATTCGACAGTCCGTCCAGAACACAACGGTTAACATTCCATTCACTACAAGCTTATCAGCATCATGTTCAGTATTTGAATGTAAAGAAAGAGAAATATTCGTTACTAGACTTCAAAATATGAATATACAGAGACGAGCTATAATTCTATGGACTTGAATGTATCTAATTGATCAATCGTATCGAGAGAAATCAAACAGTAGAGTGCAAACATAATGTATAGTGTCTTGACGGTTGTTACAGTGATGTCGCATGTGTACATATTCACTATCTGATGTTATTCTCCATTCTCTTGCATTCATCTCTCTTTGATTTTTAATTGGTCTTCCTTGTTTTTCTCGTTCTGTATATAATATTCATCTATATTATACTTATAGTTTTGTCTGGATTCTTTTAAAATAATGATCATGTACGCGTAAACTATAACACGTATATTCACATGTATATAAGGGCAAACAGAAAAAAAGAGAAACCGTCACTTTTGCAATGACTGGAAAGAGTGTTTTACATTATATTCAAGATAATATTTTCTTATCAGAGAAGTAAATACAAGTATACATTTTGTGATAGAGACATTGAAATAAAAAGAGGCCTTGTTATGAGTTTTGTTTGTCTGATCTCGATTGACAGTGTGCATTAAGGTATCATGAGTTGTCATCGCCTTAGAATGCTTCAGCATTATCGAGTACTCTGATTTTGAATAATTTTGATATTGCCATGTTATCATGTTCAGAAAATAGTTATCTCAGGTTCGTAAAAACTTATTTTCAAGACCTAATAGTTTACAAAATGCAAACATTGTTCTTTAAATGACACTGAGTTATAATTGACTTTATCTATTATTTTCTCGTAAAAGCATATGTTAGTGATTATTTTCATATGACTGAAATGTGCGTGCCCAATTATCGCTGATGCAGAATTGATTCTAAATATTTTGTTATTAATTTTGTATTTCTTAAATATTGAATTTTTTTTCGAGCTTGGGAACATGGAGACATTGAATGGTTGCCTTAATTTTTAGCGTTACTAAATTCGTTGTTAAAATTTGAATTGAACGATGGGCACTATTCGGAACAGTAGTTGATTTGTTTTTCGATCGATTCAGTAATAATGGGAATATATATAGTCTATGATCTGATATGAAGAATGACGAATTTTTAGAGTATACTGAAACCTAAAATAATATGAATGAAACTTTCACAAAAGATTAAGTTAATTTTTCTGATTCTGATTATATTTGAATCGATGGTTGACACTAATCTATTCTAGAGTTATTTACAAAACTAACACCACCTATAATAGATTTCGATCGTATCTCAAGAATGGTTTATTGTCAGATACTGCGCCTCACACATCTAGAATGACAAAAATACGCTTGATTTTGGTGTGAGCTTCATCCAACTCCAAGTTATCACCCTCGTCATCACCAAATCACATACTAAGACGGATTGGTGATTATCTACTTAATACGCTTATTTTCAGAAAATTTATCAATGTAAGATTGTAGTTTAGAATTGGAAGTATTCATTTTTTTAGAAGCAGAGTCACACAAAAAATAATAATTTATGTTATAAAAAAAAGAGACATAGAATGCATTTCTTGATTTGATGTCTCATAGCAACGAACATCAATCAATTAATTATGAAGAGATAAATAAAATTCAAAAAATTCTAATATTAACTA